TAGGTAAGCCATTTTTTTTTTAGCTTTTGTGCAAAAATGTAAAATCCCTGATTTGTAACGAAGACCCTTGCAACGTTCGTTGCACAGTATTTAAGATGATGATAGAATTCACAGGTGTCTACTATTTCTGGGCACACATGGAGCAAAATTAATGCTCTTCACTTAAAAATCACCAGAGATGTAGGTAGATCTACATAAATATGCTTTAACCACAAAGAAGGAGACAGAGAATGAAAAGAAAAACAGTGAGAGGAGAAGGGCTTTCAATTTTTTTTTAAGTCTTCTTTAGGAAAGTTAAGTCAATGCTAAGGGTGAAATAGCATTGCACATCAAGAAGGGGACTTTCAGAGGTCATTATAAAACAAGAAATCATGTATCAAAACAGGATGAAAAAAGATGTCAGTGAAATTGAAGGGAAAAAATGAAGATCATTTGCTTAAGAGGGGGTTTTAAAATATTGCACTTAGACAGAGGCAGGAACCTGAGAAACCTCATGGTTGGGTGGTAAGTCCACATGTGATAAAGATATTTTGCCCCCGGCCTCCTCTGCCTCATGCGCTTGGCTCCTTGGGCTTCTGTCCACTGTCTGCCCCACCGCACATCCGCAGGGATGGAGAGGTAATGCTGGCAGGAGACTGTCCCTCCCCGGAGACACCATTGGCTGTGCTTCCTACCAGTCCCTGAGTATTCAGGGACATACAATCTAAAAATCATTAGAGAAAAATCACAGCCAACTATTAAGTGGTTGCTTGACAAGGAACTCAATTGCTTGTCATTATCCCAGTTTTCCAGAAAGTTCTATTCTCTTTTTCATTTCCAAGAAGGGGGCATGTGTTTAGATACAGCCCTCCATTAAAAAAGAATTTCTTGCCTCGAGAAAGCACGACAGCAGAGCAGGACAGGGCAGCTCTATAATTCGTATCTTAACTGCCACCCATCTGGGGATCAGCTCCTGCTCTGCGGGGATTCCGTGGATGTGGTGGTGACAGCCTGTCTTCACTTGCTGCCGCCCCTGTTAGGAACCTCTCACCGGCTAAATGAGTAACAGAGTATCACGTGACCCCTGATGGAAATCTCAGGGTGTCTGCTCAGTTTCAAACTTGTTTGCAGCTGATGAGTTTATGAGGAATTCACCACCAACAACATTCGCTCTCATGTCTCAACAAATTCAGTTATTATTCGGAAAACTGGAAACAATCTTTTCCCGAGTCACTCCCCTGAACAACATTTTCCAGACCCAAGATGTATTTCTAAACTTCAAACAAAAGGCTTTATTTAGAGTCACTGAAACAATACCCTCCGGCATGTCCATAATGTCTCAGAAATGGAAAAGTCTCTCTTGTAAAATGCAAAGATAAAAACTTGATGCCAGGGGCACCTGGGTGGCTCAGTGGTTGAGCATCTGCCTTTGGCTCAGGGTGTGATCCCAGGGTCCTGGGATCCAGTCCCACATCAGGCTCCCTGCAGGGAGTCTGCTTCTCCCTCTGCTTCTCAGGAACAAATTAGTAAAATCTAAAAAAAAAAAAAATTTGATGCCCTCGTAAAGGAGGAGCATTGGCAATGGGGACTCCTACGTGAGACTCTGAGATGTGCTCAAGGGTGTTACTGTCTCAGAATAGAAGTCATTTAGTGGGGGCGGGGGATTATTTAATCGATGACATAGATGATGAATGTTTTTGTTCCTGTAAGCTACACCATCTGATGATTTCTGTTAAGATCTCCTGGGATGTATCACAAAATGACTTGGGTTTGTTTTTTGTTTTTGTTTTTGTTTTTTTCGATGAAAGGGATTTGTATGTTCTACAAATAGATCTTCCTCCCCCCCCCCCCCAGATCCTGTAAGCAGTTGGTCTAGGAAATAATGGTTTTGCCTTATTTTGACATTGGATCCTTTCTGTTTTTTTTTTTAAGTGTTCTAATGGTGATCATTTGAGGGACTTTTCGTCATTTTGTCTATAGACACATCCTGGCCTGATTTAACATCATCCAGAGCACCTAAAGCCTCTAATCAAATTGTCAGAGGAAGTGCAACGCATGCAGGGTAATTGATCCCCTCGCATTCAGAACATGGCATCCCCTGTCCGCAGTTCCTCTGCCTGAACCCCCAGGAGCCTGGCGGGGGTGGGCCTTGGGGAAGAGCATCAGGGTCCTGAATGCTGGGTGCAAGGGGCAACAGTGACAGCCTCACTTAGAACTCATCGCCAGGATGGATGCCAGCAGGACTACAAAGGGAATTTTTAAAAATCCAACCAATGAAACCACAAAGTGACCACAGACAAATCTGACTGTATTAAAAAGTCATGTTACCAGTAATAATAATAATAATAATAATAATAATAATAAACCATTAAATCAACATACATGACAGTGACTGTCATTTGACAACATGATTGAATTTTTTAATGATATTCCCTTTGACTCAGTCACTTCTGGAAAACTAATTCTAAAGAACTGATGCTGAGGCACCTGGGAGGGGTTCAGTGGTTGAGCGTCTGCCTTTGGCTCAGGGCGTGGTCCCAGGGTCCTGGGATTGAGTCCCACATTGGGCTCCCCACAGGAAGCCTGCTTCTCCATCTGCCTGTGTCCCTGCCTCTCTCTCTTTGTCTCTCAAGGATGAATAAATAAAATCTTAAAAAAAAATGATGCTAAGAGGCTCAAAATCATTGATGGCAAAAAAATGCACAGGGAGAGACAACATGGATGGATGAGAAATGAGGCAAAATCTGAATATTCCATGTTCTAGTTAGAATATTCCACTAAGTACTAATGAAACATAGTCACAAAAAATTTGAAAAATAATATGGAAATTGCTTTAAGTATAAAATTGATGGAAAGGTGAGAGATACATATATAGAGTAAAATTGAAAAATATGTAAATACAAAAAAAGACACTTGGTAAAAAGCTGGGAATGTTGACTGGGAATATCACTAAGCAATACTGTTTTAGGTTTCTTAAATTTATAATTTTCTTAGTCTTTCTATTTTGGGGGGATACATTACTTTCATAATAAAAAATGTTTAGAAATCAACATTTCTTTAAAATTAGGTAAAAAATTGGGATAAATGATTCATATCAAAAGTAGTAATTATTCCTTTTTAATTATCACAGTTAATTTATGATTTGGATACTAAAAATAGTTAAATATCTTCGGATTAATCCATTTTATCTTACCCATACTGTTAAACAGAATTATCTAAATAAATATGAAAAGCAAATCATTGGTTTACACTATTTTGTTTTAATAAATCCCCATAGTACCTCAAAACTTCCTATTACTTTTTATATTCAAAAAAATCCATAAATATATATGCATAAATATTAATATATACCTATATACACATATATATGCAAAGAAGAGACAAAAATGTTCAAAATGTTAATATAGAGGGGCCTTCAGAAAAGTAGGATGAAAAAAACCTTTGAAATGCTCAGAAATAATCCTTATAGGTTAAGATCTCTAAAAGAATGCAAAAAAAAAAAAAAAAAGCCAAGGGTAGAAATAATCCAATTATATGCACTATTTTGTCTATCTGACAAACACAGATTTTATGTAGTGTTACTAGACAGAACATAAGGCCACATGGCCTCGGGCAAATTGGCAGACAGGTGATCTGGTCTCACAGTCCCCCCGGGGCCAGTTCTGGCACCGGCCTCTGCTGCCTTCCCCTGCCCAGAGCTCTCGGTCCAAACACCTGTCTGAGAGGCCCTGAACCCCAGGACCCTGGGCTAGGACTCTGGCTGGCCTTTGCCCTGCCAGTGTGGGCCAGACTGTAAGAGCCATGTAATCAATTTGCTAACGAGCCAATGGAGACATGAATAAATGAGTGAAGGAAGCCCCTCGCCCCAGCCCCACACGTGGAGCTGCTGATGGATTTCCTTTCGCCCTGGTGTGTGGTGCCTACCCATTCACTTCTTCACCTTCAGTGAGTACAAACTGCAAGTCCTGGGTTTGGGGAAATTCTTTGGTGGAGAATTCTAGTGAATTAGACTAAGAGAGGAGAACATGCCGATGACAAGGGCACTGGGTACCGTTCTGCCTAGGAAGGAGGGGCAGCTGCTGATGTGGCCTCAGGGACCGGCCTGCGCTGAGCACCCTGTCTTACAGCAGCAGGTGATTTGTTTCCAGAATATCTGTGTAAGTATTGACTGTCTACAAGCCTCACTTTCTTATTATGAAATTCCAGGGGGCCTCTTAAAATCTCTTCACCCCACTCCTTGTAGGAATTATCCTGCTGGGTGATGTGGCCACACTTAGAAAACATAAAATACAAGGAAATGTTAACTTGATTATTATTAATATGCTGGAATATTTAGGGGAGACATGTCATTATTTCTGAAATGTACTTGTAAATAGTGTTGGGGGAGAAGTAAGTAGATAGAAATAAAGCAGAGGGGGCAGCAAAGTGGATCCAGGTTGGGAGTATGTAATATTGGTGGTGCAACATTTCTGGACAATTGACTTTTCTCTAAATAGAAAAGGAAAGCTGAGAAAAAATTAAAAGCACGTAAGATGTTATGACTACCTCTCCTGGATTCTGCTGTGCAAACACAGACAAGATTCTTACTCTAAGCTTCTTTCTTGAAAGGTAAAAATGAGGGGGAAAAAGTTATGCCTTGCCTTCTCCCTATTTTCTCAACACCTGTCATGGGAATAGATGCAAAGTGCTTTGCAAAGCGCAGAGCTCCACCTGGGTACAAGGGGTCACAGATGTGATTATTTGGGCAGCACCTAGTGATCCCCAGCTCAGCTGGCCAAGCCTCCCGCCTTTGTCTGCCCAGACTCCAGCCAATCTCTGCTGCCGCAGCCACCTTAGCATTACATATGCACAACTGGCCTCCTCGCCAAGTACCAGCTGCAGACGCGCACTCTTGCTCCTGAGAACCAGAGAGCAGAGCGACTAGCAGCTCCCCTTCAGAAGCCTCGGTTGGAGCAGACCCCTGCTGCTGGCTTCTGGGGACTCAGCCGGCCCCTAGGGGTCCCTGGCAGCAGTCAGCCCCCATGAAACCCTCAAAGGCATCCCAGCGCTACAGAAGCATCCGGAGAAACACCAGTCAGCACTATTTCTACCAGGAGTCCCTGCTGCTTAGGTGAGTTGGTCCTGTTCCCCCGCTGGGCAGAGGAGGCAGGTGTATTGAGGAAGGGAGCCTGAATCACCTGAGCCTTGCCTGTATCTGACCTGAGGACGAAGTCCTCATCCCGCTCCCCTCTCCTTCAGAATGAACTCAGCAACTCCTTTATCCAGGCTTTTGGGTTGGCCACCTTGACGATGTGCACAGGGGGAGATGGCTCTACATGCTCATTGACTGGGAGAACCAGATCCAATGTACCCCAACCTGCCTGAATCCACAGGCACGCGTTCTGTTTTCTCTCTGTTGACTCCATCGGCGATGTCAAGAGAGAGCAGATAATACATCTGTCATAATAAATAAGGTGTCTGTTGGAAAAAGCTTCAGGCTAGGAAGAAGTGAGGGGGTTCTGTTCCAATCTGTTAAATATTTATAAAGGTATATTAAAGCCTCCATTAATTTGGAGAAATTGGAGACAATTCTCCTATGAGTAAGTAAAAACCATCTCTGAACTAGAGCAAAGCAGAGGAATTATTTTCTCTTACTTTTAAGTGTATCATTGATCAAGTAGCAGAATACTCTTACCTCCTCCTGAAAAGTTGTGTCAGGATTAACATATTAATTGTTACTGGGAATAAATGTTGCTCCATGTGGGAAAATGGTTCTCCTACACAATAACTCTTCCCCTGTAATATTGCCCATGTGAATCTGCTTGGCTACATTCTTGGTTTCTAGAAGTTTCTAGAACTTTCTGCCTGCACTATCTCAGTTTCAAAGAATGGAAGTGGACGCGCAGGGAGGGGTCTCTGGATGACAGCGTTTGGTTTTCCTTTATTTTGCCTCCAGAGCTAGAGAAATAGGGGAAACCCTGTCTCTAAGATGAACTGATTATTTCAGTCAGCCTGAGATAGAAATTCCTTGGCCACCAAAGATGCTGCCATTCAGGAATTGTCCGTAAGCTCCCTCCCGTCTCCTTCTATGACGTCTTCTGATAAAAGCTGTCCTCCAGAGAAACCATTGTCTTTCACCGGCCCACCGAAAGGACAGACTCCAATGAATGCACTGCAGTGGCTCCCGAGATGGCCAAATTCTCTCTCTGCCTCCCTGGGTCCCTCTCCCTCTACACATACCAACTTCATACAGATGACCCTGGGGCAGCGAGATGCTGAACGTGCCCGGGGCAAGATCTTTGCTGGAAGCAATTCTACTAATCAGATTTCCTCCTTGATGCCCTGATCCATTCAGCAACTTGGATGACAGCTTTAATGCTGATGAGCCAGGGGACAGCAATGATCCTGAACAAATCTTCCAGAATATACAGTTCCAGAAGGATCTCATGGCAAACATTCGCTGCAGACCGTGGACCATGGGGCAGAAGCTGGGAGCACTGAGGTAAGGGCTTTCCACAATCATTACTGATTATTGCAAATATGCTTTCCATGAAACCACCCTGTCCTGCCCAAGAAAATGAACACAAAGACCCATGAGAGAGTGGTGGGCAGGCACTCTTGATCTGACTCGGAGAAGTCACAAGCACCCCAAGGTGGCAATTTCTCTGTGAGTGTGAGTGTGTATGTGTGTCTGGGTTGGGGGTGTGCATTGGTGAGGGGTTGGTGGTTTTCTACCTCCCTTTCAAACACTAGATTTTAGCATTGTGTCTAGAGATAACCAAATAACTAAACTCACTGCAGACAAGTCTATAAGCTGGAATGAAAACAGATGGTAATTCCCCCTGCTTGCCGCTATTCCCTCTAGGGCCGGGGTGGGGGGGGCGGCAGGGGAGGGTACGACAAGATTCTATGGGAAACCAGATTATGATACTTACGGTCACTGGAGAATCCGTTTGGATTCAACGGCAAAAGAGTTGAAGAGAGGTTGCCCAAATTTGAATACTACCTCCCAATCATTAGCTACGTGATGCTGGGCAGCTCTCTTAATTTCCACCACTTTCTTTCTCTTTAAAGTAGAGATGATGATTAAAATAGCAACTTCTCGCCTGGGTGGCTCAATGTTTGAGCATCTGCCTTTGGCTCAGGTCATGATCCCGGGGTCCTGGGATAGAGTCCCACATCGGGCTCCCCACAGGGACTGGGCTTCTCCCTCTGCCTGTGTCTCTGCCTCTCTCTCTGTGTCTCTCATGAATAAACAAATAAAATCTTAAAAAAAAAAAAAAAAGAATAGCAGCTGCCTCTTGCAACACTGCTTCCAAAAATGTGCCCCGCCAAGCAAGCAGGGTGTTTGCTAAAGATTCAGAATCCCTGGTTGCCCTCAGACCTGCCAAATCAGAAAGTATGGGAGTGGGGCCCAGTATTTTAAACACACATTCAGGTGGATTCTTTTGCATACTGAAGTTTGAGATCCGCGATAGTTCTAGGGTTAAATGGAATGAGCCGTGTGAGCTCCTCACACAGTCTCTGGTACGCGGTTGTCACACCTCGACAGTGAGTCCTGATTGATGATGCTGATGCTGGGGGTCACAGGACAGGGACTTAATTGAACGGTCTTAATGAGCCACTCTGACCTGTCAAGTGGACCTTCCTGGAGAAACAGGCAGCAGCAGCCCTGATCATCAGGTACCCTGTGTAGACAGGATTAGAACCTCGGTCATGCCACTTTCCAGACACCAAGCACACAGCCCTCCCTCCTCATGTCTACCATTAGGCTTCCACTTCTCTCCTGTCAAATCATGGCTTCATTGGCTTTCCATGAAGGCATACTCTTCCGGTCTGGCCCAAGACGCAGCTGGTCCTCAGGTGGCTCGGCAGATGGCTAAGGACACCTGTCCCTTCCAGGCTCAGCAGTTTCTGGTTAATCCTCCGTGTCTGCTATCAGCTCCTACCACGTCTGTTTCTTTGAGTGAGGATAGCAACTTAAGACAGAAGACTGATGCCCAGAGATGTAAAGTGGCTTACCCCAGGACACACAGCCTCTGAGGGCCAGACCTGTGCTTTAAACCCAGGCCCTCTGACCCTGACTTCAAAATTCTATTGAAACAGAGAAGAACTCTGCCAAAGGAATAGTTGGAGCAATCTATGCTTAAAAAAAAAAAAAAAAGTGATGTGCTAGATTTTTTAAAAATCATGCGGAAATGTTGCTGATTGACGATAAATGATTAATAGGAGTAATTAGTAATTACTAAGTAGTAATTAGTGATCACTAATTATTAGTAAGAAGCTAAGCCTTTGTAATCTACAGGCAGAGCACAGCAAATACAACTTTTCTGTCAAAAGGGCAAAACCAGGCCGTCTGTGCTGACACCTGGCCAGGGGCTCAGCTCAGACACTGACAGGGTCACACCGGTGCTGCCCAGGGCTGGCAGTCAGGCTCTCAGAGGCGGTTTGTCCTCTGAGTACCTCCATCCATCATCTCCTGTTCCCCACGTCTCCTCCCTCGTCACCTTGAGAAGCTACTGGAGCAATGCATCACTAATTGGACCTGCTGGGGCGTCTGGAGAGCAGAGACCACTGAAGCCTAACCGTGTGGGAAGCCAGGAGCCCCAGCTGAGTCTGGAGCAGTAGGCACCTGTCTGGGAGCCCAGGGTGCAGGCTCATTTCCCTGGCAGGGAAGCAAGTGGTCAGTGCCCTATGAGGAGGCCTACGTTAGGTGGTCCTCCCTGGTACCTCAGGTCCTGGCTCACCCTCTCTCATACTCTTGCCACAGCCACTCTCCCAGTTACTGCACCTCTGGGCTCCTTCACCCTATTAGCTAGGGACTCTTCCAGCACGACTGTCTTACGCATCTCTGTATCCCACTACACTTAACCCAAGTGAGTGCAGAAAATGTTTGCAGAAAGAAAATTATGAATAATTAAATGAAATAAATGATTTCACTTGTATAAGCCTCTTGTCTTTTAGATGCCATGCAGGGTAAGGCATCAAGCCTCACCCCTGCCTGCATTTGTGGTTCTGACCGGAATGAAGCCAGGCCATCTGTGGGGCCGGGAAGCTGGGGTGATGGCCACAAGGGCACAGAGCTGCAAAACCCAGCAAGCGCTCCGATTAGCTCACGTTTCACTTGTCGGAAAAGGGAGTCAGCTAGTTCCTGCATCTCAGGGAAAGACTCAGAACCGGCGGGTGTTGCTAAAAGGCTGCTGGGGTGTCCACACAAAACCTCCCTAGCAGCTCCCAGGGCACTCAAGATTGCAGGATTCTGAAGAACCAAGCCCTTCAGCACTGGTCAGAATCAAGGGGTGGGGGGCTGGCCATGGATAACAAGGGTCTCATCAGTGCAGTGTCAGATGAGGTCACCTTGAAGGTGACATTCACCTCTGAGGGTCCTTGACTGCTGTCCTTTTTTCTCCCTGGTGCTAACAGTAATTGTCTAATCCTGCTATTCACAGGACTGTGGATGTAACCATCTACCCCAGTGAGTTCAATGCATTCCAAGGATTAATCATTTAGGTGGAGACATCAGGTCAACTCACCAAAGTCAGCAGTTCGTTTGGGCTGCATCAGGTTCTCTGTGGCTGTGGAGACACCACGTAAACCAGACACCATCATTTTCTAGAGGCAGGGTCTCTGAGGCTGTGTCTGACTTCACTTCCAGAGATGAGGGTTGCTGAGGTCAAGGGGAGGGGTGTGACCCCCTCGCGCCCGCTGCCAGGATTCCCCCCCTCCCCCCCCCAGGATTGATTCCCAGACAACAACCAGGGAAGGACTTTAAGAAATTCATTGCAACTCATTTTGTCATTGATTTATCATTCTCTAAGAATTTATCCATTAAAATTTTTTTTTCAAAAAGTATTTTTTAAAAGAGATTTCTGGTTGCCTGAGGTCAGGAGATGAACGATTTGCATATTTGCATAGCCCCACCATGCCACAGCATCTTGTCCCTCACATTTTGACCACCAGCTCCTGTTGCACTTCCACATGTTTTGCCACGGTAATGGGTGTGACAAAATCATGCTGACAATGGTGTTTTTCTTCTCTTAGGCGAGCGAAGGAGATCGTGCTGAAGTTTGAAGGGAGGCTGACCCGGACCCGCGGCTACCAAGCAGCAGGTGCAGAGGTGAGAGCATGTGGGCACAGGCGCTCCCACCCCTTCTGCTGGTCTTGGGGCCGAGAAATTGCACTCCATGGCATCTGTCATAGTACATCAATTATTACAGCCCTGAGCTGGCAGATACAAAAGTCCCAGAACCTGAATTTTAGTCCTGGATGCTGTCACTTACCAACTCGACATGACTCTAGGAGAGCCCAACTCATCCGAAAAAGGATATCTTCCCTTGAGAAAATGATCTAGCATCTTTCTTGCCTTACTCCCGCCCATACGTGTAGCTTTTATTCACTGTATGTCTTGTGATGAGAAAGTTACAGATACATTCCAATGCTCCTTTTATAATTCAGTGCTAAGGTTTTTGTTTATTATTTTCCCATTCAGTTCCTTAAAGCTAAACTTTAGTATATATTGAAATTATCTATTTAGAGAGACATCACAATAATTTTCATAAATGTTTAGAAGACAAAAAAATCAACACCCAAATAGTATCTTTTTAAAAATCTCACATTCCAGTCACTGAATATATAATTTTCACTGAGAGCAATGATAGTATACATTTTTGTCTTGCTTCTTTTTTTCACTTAACCTCACAGTAACAGAAGGATTTTTCCATGTTGCTATGTATTTTTTACACATAGTGTTTCCCCTGACAGATGACTGTAAGCTAACTTAATTAGTTGTTAGTCTCCTGGTGAATATTTAAATTGCCTATAATTTTTCATTATTGTTAATAACCCTGCAAAGAGTATCTTTGCACATATTCCTTTTCCTATCTTTTTAAAATTTAATTTTAAGGCTTTATTTATTTATTTGAGAGAGGGAGAGAGAGAGAGAGAGAGCACACACAAGAAGGAGGAGTGGGAGAGGGAGAAGTCAGCTCCCCACTGAGCAGGGAGCCAGACATGGGGCTTGCACCCAGGACCCTGAGATTATGACCTGAGCTGAGGGCAGACGTTTCACTGAGTAAGCACCCACGCACCCCCTCTTCCTATCTTTTAAAATTCCTCTTCCAGGATAAATGCCAGAACTATAATCACCGTAGAAAAAATATAATCCATTTTTTTGGTTCTTAATAAATATTAATAAATTATTTCCCAAAACCCTTGATAGTTTATCTTGCCATGCATGATGCTTACTGTTTTCATAATATTCTCGCCAATATTGGATATTGTATTTTTTTAGTTTTTAAAGTTTGTTGTACTTTAACAGACAAAAGCTGACAGATGCACTCCTTTTAGATTCTCTGAAACAAAAAAAGTATTCTTAATGAAATTTAAAGCTGGCCTCTATTCACATAAACAAATATATATTTAATGATATGTTTATATATACCTGGGTATCAACACATATATATATATAGTTAGTCCTATATATACTTAGCTTAATATAATATTACTTAAGCTTTTCTATTTGAATATATGTGTTTCTGAGACATCTGGGTGGTTCAGTGGTTGAGCATCTGCCTTCAGCTCAGGTCGTGATCCCGGGGTCCTGGGATCGAGTCCTGCAACGGGGTCCCTGCATAGAGCCTGCTTCTCCCCCTGCCTGTGTCTCTGCCTCTCTCTCTCTGTGTCTCTCATGAATAAATAAATAAAATATTTTTAAAATAAATAAATAAATAAATAAGGCTGGCCATAAATATTACATAATCATAAAATCTCAAAGGGTCTCTAGGGTCTACCTTGGCTGTCCTCTTACTCTCCACAGACTGCCTGAAGACTCTGATCTATTCCCACAACCGAGATTACCCAGGACTTTTTATGCCTATCACACTGTGATAGACTTTATGGAATCCATACAGAAAACAAAATTATCTTTTTAATTATAAGCATATGTGCTGCTGGGCTCCTTCCTTATCTTCCCTAAATAGAAAGTCTGAAATGCTATGGGAGAACACTTGCTATTACTAGGAGGCCCTTCCCTTGGGTTCAGACAACCTGTGACATATAAGAGTGAGAAGTACTGCACCTTTTAGTAACGGTAAGATCAATATGGATTAAAAGTGTAATTTGATAATGGACTGAATTATTAAAAGCAGGGTATTTAGAATGAGAAAGGGGATCTGAATTTTCAGCCTCACCTAGAGCTTGCCCTGAGGTTTTCAGCCGGCACCAGGCAGGCGCAACATTTGTAGGAGCACTGGCCCTGCAGAAAGTGGTTCAAACCAGTCCAGTTTGACCCATGGACTGTGCTTTGTTTCAGGCCCTCAGGTAACAAAATAGCCCAGACTGGGCTTTTTCTGCCTTCTGGGCACGCAGTAAAATGCCAAAGAAAATTCTTCTCCCACCACGTCTTCTTCACACTTTGGTTCTTCCCCTCCCCATATTCAGAACTGCATTCCTCTGTTTTTTTACTACTAATAATATTTTGATGCCAGAAATTTTTATTTGAAACACTTGGGACCAGCATCTGCTCTAGCTGCCACGTAGAGAAAATAAAAGGTATCTAGCCAGCCGGTGTACTGCCTGCAGCCCCTCTGTGTGTAGTCCTGGGTTTGTAAGCCCGAGATGGTAACTGTTTTCCAAACAGTAAATTTTATGTAACACAGCTACCCATTCTTCGTGACTCCCAGCACCAAGATCCTGGTCCCCATTCACAGGACTGCCACTTGGTCCTGTCTGGGGAATCACTGCTTCAGAACACAAGGCATCCTGGGGAGCCCTCCCCTGTTTCCAGCCAGCATCCTCCATTCCCGTGAGTCTCCACTCGATTCCAGCTCCTTATAGACAGTCTTCCTTCAGCACCAGCACATGTCTGTATTTCTGAAGGAAGCGAGGTGTGAGTGTGAGACAACCAGGACCCAAGACGTCACTCCAGAGGGAATCAGGACACCCAGGTCCCTCTGCCATTGTTTCCCTACTCTGGCTTTGGTTTTCACATTTGATTCTCAAGATTCCTTCTGGTTCTAATATTCTATGTCCTTTGTGTCTCTCATGATACTAGCAAAGGAGGTCACCCTTCTGGAGAACTTTTGTGGCATGGTTATCACCTGCCTAGGATGGTATATAGACTGATTGGCCTCCTGACAGGTCCTCCTGCTTCTACAAACATCCCCCAGTAATCTACTGTGTTCCCCACAGGAGCCCGGGCAATCCTTGAAACAGTAAACTACTGATGCCAACCCTTACTAAGATAATGATAGATGATTGATTGATTGATTGATAGATACTGAGACACATATTTACACAGATAGATACATAGATAGGCTTTTATTATACTTAGAATTAAATCTCTCTCCTTCCCATGACCCACCAATTAGATCTCACCCCACTTTCCCTTCTTCCATACTCTGCTGTAAAATGCCCAACACGTGCTAACTCACAGGTGTAACGGGCTGCCCTGGCCTCCTAGATAGCTCCTCTAATGATTTATTATTTTTTGAAATATCAGTTCCTTTTCATTCAAGTTTCAGCTCATGTATGACCTTCCCAGATCAATCTTTCCTGATCCTCTTGTTTAAAAAAGCTTTCTCATCCAGCCCTAATGGACCACGTCCCCCTGTGGCATTGATGCATCTGTTGCTGCCTTCTCTCTACCTAAACGCAAGCTCTGCGCCAGCTAACATCTTATACGTCTTGTCCATTTGCACCCACAATACTAGAAAGACACATGGGTGCTCAGTACATGCTCAGAATGAATGCATCTGTCATAAACTAGAATACGTGCTGTTAGAACACCTTTATTCCAAGTGAACTTACAGGCCATTCCAAAGAGGAGAGAATGAGCTTATTCTTATTTTTGGTACCAAATAACTCAGGCCCATAATTAAGATCTAATTCTTCCAAGTTTGGTTTTTGATTTTGCTGTTTTGTTTTTGCCTTGCTCTTAAAATTTCAAATCATTTCAGAGTTTCAGGGCTTTCCATGAAGATTTGGTGCAAATTATCAGAGAAGTGTGGTGTTTATTTCCCCACTTTACTGAATCTGGGTTATCAACAAATCACATCTTTCAATCCCATTTACCTCGAGGAAGCTCCCTTAGGAAGCTAGTGTAGACTCGTGTTAGCAGAATGAGTGCTGGGGTTTCAATGCCCTTAAAGCTGAGTCAGGGGCCCCTGACTCCTCACATGAGCACCAGAGGCAGGGAAGGAGGTTTTTCATCTCTTACCTACAAAAGTCGTTCTGCTTTACAGTGTTCTGCGCATTGAAATTCAACCAAAATTTAAATCGAACGAGTAACCCTGAATACTACTGATGGAATCCTGCTTCTCATACAGACAAGGAAATGGAATCTCAAAGAAAGAAAATCCCTTTCCAAAGAGTGTGTAGTAGGCTCACGACTGAGCTGGTGCTAGAACTCAGGGCTGGGGCCCTCCTCCCAGTGCCTCTTACCCTTAAGGACTTCACAGCTGGCCAGAGACTCAGCCGGTTTCCAACACCAAACCCACTCCCAAGGGTGTTTGAACACTGTGGCCCTGCACCCTGCACCCTGCAGGCTGTAGGGGATGAAAGGGCACAAGCTTTGGTGTTCTCCATGCTAAAGGACATACGCCACAGGAGAAATCTAATGGCAACACGAAGTAGGATATAATCAACATTACAAGAATATCCATCACTGGGAGCTTTACAGAGAGAAGGATCTATTTCTCTCTTCGGAGAAGCTGCGTGAACTCATCATGGGCGTGGTTAGGTTCGAGCTGGGTCTGGAATCATGAACAGAAGACGAACAATTGCAACGTCTGATAAAATTCAAACAGATTTTCATTTACAAGCAGCCGTTCTGGCCTCAGCAGACACATCCCGGAGGACATTATCATGCGTGTCTGCATCAGGACCATGTGCTGTCTCAGAGTTCAGAATGTTGTAATTACATTTGCAAGCCTTCTTTCTGCAATGATATCATTTGCTTCCAACACAAACCGAGATTGTTTGTATGTTAAAATGAACAGCCTGCCAATACTGTGGAGAGCAGAGCCAGCGTCAGGGCACATCGTGCTTTAGTCTCCTTGGAGGAAAAAGAAAGAAAAAGAAGATTTTTGAACTCTTGGCAATTGCATTTTAAACACACAAGACAAATTTCCAGATCTCACCGCTGGCAGCTTTGGCCAGGAGAGAGGGTGGGAGACAAGTACAAGGAGGACACCAGACAGGACGGGAGGCACACAACGGGCAGGCTTGGGTTCAGGGTGTCTTATTGACCCCTGGTCCTCAGTCCAGGGAGCGGTGGTCACCTGGGCCCCACTCCCAGGCTGGGGTCAACTGGGTGCATTTGGACATAATTCCTCAAGTAATTAAATGTTTTTGGTTCCCCAAAGCAGGAATGGGGAGAGTAAGGTAGGTGTGACCCCAAGGGCATGGGCTCCTCAGGACAGACACCACACTCAGAGCCTGAGTCAGGTGCCCTCCCCCAAGCAGGGGTACAGAGAAGACAAGGGGGACTGCTTTGGTCCTGGTTGTGCCTAAAGTCTTGAAAAATCATAGCTATAGGTATTAGACACTGTGTCTTGGGGGCCTGTGCTCCCCTCAGGACCATAGCATCACAAAGTCATTGCCATCTTGACAACTGTAAAGTTCTCAAACTCTGCTCCCTCCTTTTCAGCTCTGGCGGAAGTTTGCTCGTCTGGCCTGTAACTTCATGGTCATCTTCATTCCCTGGGAGATGAGGATCAAGAAAATCGAGAGTAAGTATGGGCACTCGGAGGAGTGGGGCAGGGACAAGGTACAAGTGGCCAGCCCACCTCCAGGCCTGAGGAGGGAGGAGCTGTGGGTCCCCTGGTAGTCACACTGTGTGCATGGTGCAGGCTGGGGCTAGACTTGGGATGGTGCGGATGGAAGACATCTGTCCCACCACTCCCCTGGATGACAGTGGTCCCCCTGTCGCTGCGGCTCTGCCACTCTGGCAGTTCATTTGGGAGTCAGACCCAGCACTGACCCCAAAGGATTAGGTTTAAAAACCGCAGAAGAATAAGAGAGTCATGGGAGCAGTTGCCAAACAAAACCTCGGAAACTTGCATTTTCTTAGAGCTGATTATAACCATTCAGAAAGCATATTCTAAAAAATAAATAAGTCACGTTCACAACAGGTTCACAAACCTGCAGACTCATTGTACACACATAACACGCAGCACACAACACTAAGAATAAACTTAACAGTGAATCTGTAGTGAAGAAAACTGTAAAATCAGGCCACAGGAAGTTTAAAAGGTCTTCTGAAGAGACATAGGATGATTTAATATTTGAAGATGTGCATTTTCTTAAATCAGCTTACAAGTTTAATGTAATTTTAGTAGAAATCTCAATGTAATGTGGTTTGTTGTTTCTTTTTTTGTACTTGACAAAATGATCATAAAACTTGTATGAAAGAAACACAACCAAAAGATTCATCAAAAAGAATTTTTCTTTAAGAAAAATGCAATTGAGCTTGCATAATCAAAACATTAAAATACATTTATAAACGCTACAGCAGTTGAAACTGTAGCATAGCACCATAGATGATCCTAGAACTGTTGATTCAACTGTTTTAAAGAGGATGCTTAGATCCTTCGCTTTAAGGTTCTATGAGCCATTAAATAGGAGATAGGAAGCCACGAAAGAATTAAAGGAAGTACAGAGCATGTGATCTCAGTGAATGCAAACCTGTCTGTGAAAGTAAAGAAGGAAATCATCAAGGAAAACAGCGCTGTATTTAATTACCTATAAAAGAAATTATACTTACATAAAACAAAGCTAAAAGCAGACAAATGGAGAAAAAACAATTTTCAGCATTTAAATGGAATTTAGAGTTTTCCTACACAGTGGGTGGGAATGTAAATTGGAAAGGCGTTTCTAAGGGAAAGTTAAAATTTGTAACCAAAGCCTTCATAATGTTTGTGCTCTTTGATAAAACTCTTCCATTCCCTAACAACCAGAGAAACAAGAGCCACAACAAAATTGATGCACCATCACCAAGTTGGTACCCCACCCGGATTGCTTGTCTGGTCCAGCTTTTTTCTCGGCTGCCCTGGGTGTTGATGCTGTGACTCACAGCTGCCCCTTCCCTGGAGCATCGCCCTGAGCCTGTGCTGTTCCAGCCACTGGGCACAGGTCACCTGCCCCACGCCCCAAGGGAGGGCCCAGAGGGAGGCAGTCCCTGAGGAAGGAGGAGTCAAGTCCTGCTCCTTGTGCAAAGTGGGTCAACTGTGTTGTGCAATTTGTCTTCCAGGGTCCCCCTAGGATGGGATGGAGTAAAGCTGGGCTCCAGGGAAACCACCTCCTTGCTTAGTTCTTCCCTTGCCCCCCTTCAGCTTGATGCCCACACTCCCTTTCTGCAGAGAGTGCTTCCTCAGTATGTCATAATAGCTGGACCCCTTCCTCAGGCTCTGCTTCCAGAAAACCTGCCCTTGGAGGGTAATTATTTATTGCAGGCTTACTTACCTTAAGGAATCACCTACCTGGTGAAAAGTCAGCAATTTAAGTGTTAAATGGTGGAGATAGATTAAACAGATGATGGAAAATTCAGTTGATGAAACAATAATATTTCTTTTATAGGAGAATAGTTTTTACATGAAAAAATGCTTATAATATATGAATAATTCAAGATTCATGTTGTAGAGAAATGCAAATTTTGTACAAAAAAAACTATACACATAGAATAATAATGGGGGACACACTGAAAGTTTACTAGAAACTAACTCATTCTAGTAGTTTAATTTAATGATCTCAAAATAGGTAATATTTTTGTTTTCTTGGTGATGGCTTTGTGTTTTCCTATTTACTATGCCAAACACAAACTAAATTTGAAATAAAAACTCAAGAGATTTTTTTTTTAAGTATGGCACAAATCACTCACTTCCTCATCTAATTTCTATGCTCCCTTAGTTTCTTAGTAGAAGCTGTTTTGAATATACTTTTTGTTTTAGGATAATATAGATATATAGAAAAGTTTAGATATATAGAAAAGTTGTAAAGTTCCTATAATTCACTCAGTTTCCCCTAATGTTAACACCTAGCAAATTGCTATATACCCTGAAATTAATACAAATCCTTGGAATTCTCAAAACTATACAAAATAAAAATATACATCTATGAAATTCTTAGAAGATGCTAGTTCTTCTGAACATATGTGAAATGTTGCAAATTTGACAAGTATTTTAGATGAATATGTCATAAGGGAAATTATTAAGTTAGGGTTTTTTTCTGTGCTTATAACTGGAAATACTAATGAACATCTTGACCCACACAAATGACTATTTTGGGGGGACACCCCAACTGATATAATCATGGCCTTCTTTGTCTTTGTCCTGATACACAAAACATTGCAGTGTTGCTGTACAGAGAACTTTGCACGGTAAGGGGTTTATAGTGTTCATCCTGTTTATACTGTGTTTTACCATTCTTATTTTCTGGCCTTTTTTTTTTAGGTCACTTTGGATCTGGGGTTGCTTCCTACTTCATATTCTTGAGATGGTTATTTGGAATTAATATTGTGCTCACGATTATGACAGGTGCTTTTATTGTCATTCCAGAGGTAAGAACTAGTTTAGGGAAAATCAGAAGTGCCATGCCTTAGAAACAAGAGATGTGAGAGTCTCATAAGCAACTGCCCGCATTATCCTCATGGGAAGGATAATCAAGAGGATGAAGTGAACCTTTTCTTTGCAGGGCCAGGTAGTAAATAGTTGAGGCTTTGGGGACCCACAATCCCTGTCACAGCCCTCTCACCCCCCATGCAGTGTGAAAGCAGCCACAGACGGTACACAAACTAATGACGGTGGCTATGTTCCAACCAAATTTTATTTACGAATACTAAAGTTTGACTTTTATATCATTCTTAAGTGTTGCAATATATTATTCTTCTTTTGATTTTTCCCCAGCCATTTAAAAGTGCAGAAACGATTCTTAAAAACAAAACAAACAAACAAAAAACAATTCTTAGCTCCTGAGTCATACAAAAAGAGGTAACAGGCTGCATTTGGCCCATGATCCAGTTCACCAGTGCTGTGATAAAATAAAACCCGCTTCTCAACTAAACTTCATCCTCACAAAGTAAATGGGACTGTTTCCCATGCAGAAACCCAGTGACCTCAAAAATCCACTTGTAGAAGCCCAGCAAGAGAGCACCCAGGCAGGCTGATCGAAAAAAGAACATCAGCCCACCCAGGATTACTTTTCCACCAGTGAGAATCAAGCAGAAACACAGCCCCTAGAGATCTTGTAACTGCAGCACCTTCACAGGCCATAGGGAAGGATCTGGGGATCGGCCACCCACCCCTCTTCTTCTGGTCCCTCCCCACCCCCCAGAGGATCACGGGACATCCTGTTTTCTCTAGCTCATTGCAGGCCAGCCCTTTGGAAGCACAGCCAGCAAGACCATCCCCAAGGAGCACGTGGCTTCGGCTCAAGACCTGGACACAGTCTGGTCCCTGGGGGTGAGGCTGAGTCTTGGCCGCACTCTTATCTTGAGGGAGGGCTGACTGGGTGGCAGTTCTGGAACCTAGGTTGGAAAATGACACTGAGTTCTCTCTTCACAGGGTTACCTGCAGTACTCGGTGCTCTTCTACGGCTATTATGGCAGGGAGCGAAGGATTGGGAGAGCTGGCTACCGGCTGCCCTTGGCGTATTTCCTGGTGGGGATGGCCGTGTTTGCTTACAGCTTCATCATCCTCTTGAAAAAGTATGGCTGCTCAATTTCTCTGCATGCCAAGAATGATGTGGATGATCTCAATCTGCTCCATAACTTGTAGAGTTCAGGCATAACTGTGCCCAATTTGCAGATGAGGAGACCAAGGCTAGAAGAGATAGCCACATTTTAACCAACACTTATTCAACATTTACTGCTTTGTGCCAAGCTCCGTGTTGGGTCTGGAGAAATGAGAATCACATAGGTTTAGCAGCTAAGGGAACTTCAGACAATTTAGTCATTGCTCTCACAGAGACAGGGACAACATGGTCTACGTGGCCAGAGGTTGCAGAAAGCAAAACATCCTCCTCTGGCTGCATTTTGCCAGTGACCTCGCTACAAGTCCTGCAGGGGCCAGGCTCATCTGTGTCATGATGCAATTTGCACCTCCAGTTCATCACTGAGCAGAGGCACAGGGGAAGGAAAACAAAGTGCTGGGGGTCAGGAGTCCTTCACCATCCCCACCATGAGACCTGTGGCCCCTCCTGGCTCCTCTCTGGGCCCCATCTGTAAAATGTGCAGGTGGGCTTGGTGGACGGCCAGGCTCCCTGGCAGCTTTCATGTTCTGTGCTTCTACATTGGAGCTAGCTAAATGGGGGGATGGATGTGTGGGCCCTGAGGCCACAGAGAACCTGGCCCCTCTCTGCTTGGTTCACCTATTACTTCTGTGTGCCTTGTGTGCCCCGGTGTGTCCTGTCACCTGCCCTGTGGGGCATCTTAGCCCAGGGCAGATACAAGTGCTGAGGGGGGTGAAAAAAGACCATGAGCATCATCATCACCACCAAACAACAGAAGCCTGAGAAGGTGCACTGTGACCTGGGGGCCTTCGGTTCACAAGAAACTTCCCCACCTAACTTCTGTGTGCTTCCAGACCCCGCCTGGAAGACAGGCCCTTTTCGAGATGTCACAGCTTATGGGAGAGATGGAGGCAAACTCAGGACAAAGAACTATGGAGGGAGAGGGTAGCTGGAGAAATAGTCTGAAGGATGTGGGACTCTCCGCTGGGGAGGGATGGTGACTGTTTCATGATATTCAGAAAAATCTAAGGTTTATTGAGGACTGAAGGGACCTGAAAGGCTCCCCCCTCAAAGGCAGGGCCTCCAGGAAGGCTGGTTCAGCTCTAAGGAGAGTCGGATGTCACAGTCACACTGCACAGAGATGGGAGGGGCTGGCCCCCCAGGTGCACACACCTGCGGTGACCTCCTGGCCACCGCGGGGGAAGGCCGCTTGTCAGATGGGCTTACCCCACACCCGGACAGTGCCATTTCCACAAGAGTGGGGTCAAAGCCAGCAGGTGCCACACTGGCCTGACCTGTATGGGGCCCTTCGTGGACCAGCAGCGGCCCTGGGGCGGACGGGGCCCAGCCGGCCCCTGCCTCTCATGCACGCGGCCCTCGCCCCTCTCCTGCAGGATGGCCAAGAACTCCCGGACCAGCCTGGCCAGTGCCTCCAATGAGAACTACACCTTCTGCTGGCGGGTCTTCTGTGCCTGGGATTACCTCATCGGCAACCCAGAGGCTGCGGAGAGCAAAACCGCTGCCATCGTGAACAGCATCAGGGTGAGTGGGGGGCGCGGGGGCCCAGGGTGGGGGGGGTCACACCTTCACCGCGGAGCCACCAGGCCTCCTCCCAGTGCTCCAGGGAAGGGGCTGTCCACAGGACGGCGGGGCATGCACCGCACCCCACAATCCCATGGAGCACACACAGGAAGGGACGATGAAAATGTCTTTATCTTAATTTTTCCATTTCGTCCCCCTAAAATGTCAATTGGTGTGTTTTTGATCATTTGTATGGTGGACCTTTGTGCAGGGCACTTGCGAGCCAATACACACGCTTTAGTGGTAACTCAGGACGATGTCATCAAACTCACTTGGGGACTTGGGTCTATTGACTGGTGCAAACAGCTAAATGCTGCCCCTTTGAGAAAATTAGATAATTTAACTTATGTAAATGATGTCATTGTCCACCTCCTCTGCCCAAACCCCGATTTCTTTTTTTATCTACTTATTATTGTACAAAGCATCGATGTCAATAAAATCTCACAGAGTAGCTAAAAAATACTGAATAAATAATTTCTTAGCATGAAATATTTCTAAAGATTTATGATTAATGGCGAGGCTGAGCTTTTAATTTGGATGTGTCTTTTCTTAAAAGGAGGCCATCCTGGAAGAACAGGAAAAGAAGAAAAGCAAAAACCTGTACGTATGGACCCTCCCCACTCTTCATTTATTGATAAGCTATTTTAATTTGGCACAAAACTTTCCAGACTGTCTATATCTTATTTCCACACATCGTCGGGAAATCTTTCTCCTTAAAAATCTATCCTTCTAAGTAATGTGATACATGGCAAGCCTGTAATGGTTTGATAGCCATATTTAGGAGTGGTTCCTCCCTCCTAAGTAAGATCGGGCGACAGGGTAAGAGTTCTGAAGTTGACCAACTTCTTTCACTTAGACAATAAAAGGTATTTTTAGCGTTGATTTCTAGTTTGCTAAATTAAGCAAAGATTATTTTGTTTAGCAAGAGATCCCCAAGGTCATAAGACGGGAGTAGTATCCAGTTCTTGTTGACAAGCCTTCCAAGGGGATGTCTCAGGTCTGAACTTCCCCAGGGTTTGAGGGCTGCCTTGGGGAGGTGAGGCCCTTCAGAGAGAGAACCAATGGCATGGAATCACTGTTCCCTGGAAGGGACAATGACCTGTCCTCATGGGGCAGCCATGTCCACTCCCTGCTATCCTCACTGGTTCTTTCGCCTTTTGACTAGTTCCCACAATGCAGAAAGCCTGATGGGGGGATGCAGGGGGTGTGGGGAGGGGAGGAAGCAGGACACGGTGGCAGGAAAGACTGTCCACAGAAAGACAGGCAAGGGGACTCCAGCCCTCCCTTTGTCATTAACTTAGCTTCCACAACCCGGGAAGGTCCCTGGCCTTTCCAGGCCTCCACTTCTTCCCCGTGAAATGAAGATGGAGCTCCATTGGTGCTTCTCTGAGGGCAGAGAGAACCCACCCAGTCAAGTCACCCCAGGGCACAAAACATGCAGCCCGCTTCAGCACCCACCCTGACTCACTGAATTAGAACCTCTGGAGGGGGGGCCAAGAATCCACATTGTTAGCAGGCCTTGCAAAGCAAAATGTGCAGGTGACTCCAGTGTTACCTCAAATTTAAAAACTGCAGCATTCCAGCTCAAAGATGGGTACTTCCATCCTGCATTATTATAAGCAAATATATCAACAGCATGAATAACTTGCCTCTCACCTCTCTTCCTGAATCAGACAAATCCTGAATCCTCCTCATTCTGCTAAAACTTGAGGTAAATGGATGTGTACCAGGCATTCAGGGATATCCAGGGTATTATCACAGGACAGGGAAGGAAGAGAGTAGAGAAATGGGAAAATGAGCATTTGATTGGAGACTTCACCCTGTGCCCATCATGTGCATTTTCTGGTGCAAACAGCACGAGGATCAACAGGTGCTGGTGGGGACAGCGGGACCATAATGCATGACTTGCCTGGCCCTACCAATGATGTCAGCATGGTCTGGGGACAAGAGAGAGTGGATGCCAAAAAGCATTTATGGGCCTCACTCTCGCTCAGATTTTCCATCTCCAGGGTTCAGATTCTTTATCTGAAGTTCTCCACAGAAAGATGAGGTGATGTCTATCATTTCATTTGGGAGTGAGATTCCTCCTTGAACAGATGAAAGGTCAAGACTCATGTAGAAAAAGGGGTCATGACCAGCCCCAGGTCACCCAGGAGGCAGAACTGTGCTTTACAGACAGGATGGCACACTCTGCGTACACTTCAGATCCTCCTGGCCACACCTCTTCTTCTAGTGCCCACTGCCAGGCAAGGCCATGCAGGGCTGTGCAAGTGCCACGGCCAGTGTCCAGGTGTAACAGCCCATGTGCAGGTGTCACAGCCAGGTGCATAGGCCCCTGGTGCCCCTCGTCGGTACCTGCTGCTTGTCACCCCAGGGCACCCACCAGACCCCTGTCAAGGCACAGGCATGGGAATCCAAGAGGCTGGGGGCAATGCTGGGGGTTCATGCTTGGGGAGCCACCCTTGACCAGTAGGGACAGGACAGGAGTGATGACAAAAGCTTCCTACTTCTCTGTGGGCGGGCCATTCTGAGGTGCAGCTCATCTGCCCCTCTGCAGGCCCTGCAGCAGCCCCCAGCTGTGGCCAAGTCCACCACAATCCCTTGTCCTGGCTGCCTCTCCTCCTGTCTTCCCCCCAAACCTTATGGCATCACGTCCCAAGTAAACTCTGTGCAAATGGGTCTGTGCCTGAGGCTCTGCTTGCAAGGAATTCCAGGCTAAGACCAAAGGCAGAAGCAGATGCCATAAAGTAAGCCAGTTGGAGTCAGTGAGTTTTCCCCAGCGTTAGGAAGGTAGGAGCAAACCCTTGTTCCACCTCCTGGCATTCGGTTGTTCTTTATTTGTTTGTTCATCTACGTCTAGGTATTCTAGGAGCTGAGAATACAACAGAAGAGCAAATCATTTGACAGCTTATGTTCTAGGAGAGACAGCTAATCACCTACCTCTTAAATCTCTGCACAGCGTCACATTCATGATGCTTGTTTCCAGTCCCACTGATGGGAGTTGGGTGGATTTATAAGTCACTGTGAATCCCTTAGGAAATGAGGAATTTGGACTCAGGGCGGGGTGGGTAGGGAAGAGCACTGACTCTTCAGGACAGAGGAACACTTGACAGGAGAGGGGTCCTGTGGCTGTCTGGCGTCTGTACATCTGGGCACCCTGAGCACAGCCTGGAGGATGCGTCCTCATGCCACCTCTCCCCACAGGGCGGTGACCATCTGCCTGAGGGTTGTTGCCAACATCCTGGTACTTCTCTCGCTCGCTGGGAGCATCTATCTCATCTACTTCGTGGTAGACCGGTCCCAGAAGCTGGAGCAGTCGAAGAAGGAGCTGACACTCTGGGAAAAGAATGAGGTACCTGCCATGTGATCTGCACGTGCCCTTCCAGAGGGAAGGAAGCAAGAGCAGCCTTCCCATGTTGTGTCCTAGGTAGGCTAGCTAAAAATGTCTCCCTGGAAGAACTTAGTCTTCTTTTTTTTTTTAAGATTTTATTTATTTATTTGAGAGAGAGAGGAGAGAGAGGAGATCGAGAGAATACAAGCAGGGGGAAGGGCAAAAGGAGAAGCAGACTCTCTGTTGACCAGGGAGCCTGATGTGAGGCTCAGTCCCAGGACCTTGAGATTGAGATCATGACCTGAGCCAAAGGCAGGTGATCAACCAACTGAGCCCCTCAGGCATCCCTAACTTAGTCCTCTTGTCCTAGAGAACCAACTGCAAGGGCTTTGAGCCAGAGTGGTGATGCCCTGAGACCTGATAGAATGGTTTCATTGGTCCCGATCAGGAAAGGTTCTGATTCAATATGTTCTTCAAGAGTTCACCCTACTGTTTCCCTTTGGGTCTTGCCGACTGTGCTGAGCTGTTCTTGCGTGGTGTTTCTTCACACACACGTTTCCAGGAGTGGACTTCCCCCACACACGGGCTTTAGTGACTGAATCATATTCTGCGGCACATGTCACGGTTGACCGTATGCCAATTCTTACGCACTGAGGTCATTTCTGTATTTCTAAATTACAAACAATGCTTCCCAAACCATATTTGTTCACTAAAAGATCTTTTCCCTTCATTTATGTGAATATCCTCACAGCAGGAAATGGCTAAGGGAAAGTTATAAGCAGTCTTATAATTCTTTTTTTTAAGATTTATTTATTTATTTATTTGACACACACACACACACACACACAGAGAGAGAGAGAGAGAGAGAGAGAGAGAGAGAGCAAGCACTAGCAGGAGGAGCAGCAGAGGGAGAGGGAGAAACAGACTCCCCACTGAGTAGGGAGCCCAATGCAGGACTCGATCCCAGGACCCTGAGATCATGGCCCAAGCCTAGGACAGATGCTCACTGACTGAGTCAGCCAGGTGCCCCCCAGCCCGTTGCCTTATAATTCTTAATATTTGCTATAAGACTGCTGCTGCCCTGGAAGTCACGGGCACTTTTCCTGCAACGATTTGAAAGGCAGACAAAGCATGAGGGTCATCTCTCTGACCACTGCTGTGGAAATGAGCCTCATTTATGGGATTCATAAAGCAAAATGTGTAGGTGATATGATACATATAGTTTATCCTCAACATACAGTAATTTTTCAGAATCTGAGACAATGTTCGGTCACCTTTTCTCAGACCTCCTTCTATTTCATGCCAATTAAACGGGTTGTGTAAATATGTGCTTGTGTGTTGGCAGATCGATTAAGGTTTTAAGGGCATATTCAGAAATTATGTCTCTCTTTAGCTCCCACCTCCCTATTACCAGCTAAATGTCCTCTTTTGGTTGCCAGAAGTACAGACAGGAGCCAGGCCCGGCACAATCTTCTAGACAATTTCTCTTCCATGCACAGAAAGAATATTCGATTACAAGTCAGCCCGTCCCCTTTCCCATTTGTAATGGTTGGGGTCACCTCCTTCTGCCACTCAAGGTAAGTAGAACAGCAGGGCAGTTGAGAAACGTGGCAGAAATGCTCATGAATCCCCAGCGACAAGTGTGAGCATCTCAGATTAAGTTCCTAATAGGAGTAAACCCACAACAAAGTGGCAATGACCTCTCAGAAACAGCTAACCGGCAGGGACTTGGGGGCAGGTTCTCCAGGTAGGAAGCACACAGATCTCCGAGCGCCCGCTGGCCAAGCGGAAGGCCAGGAGGCCAGTGTGAGGTAGGTGAGCCCGGGCTGGGGAACCTGGGGACTCATGGCTGGTCCGCACTCTCCTGGCAGGTGAGCGTGGTGGTCTCCCTTGTCACCATGCTAGCACCATCGGCCTTTGACCTCATCGCCGCCCTGGAGATGTACCACCCACGAACCACACTGCGCTTCCAGCTGGCAAGGTATGACAGCCCTGTGGGCACTGCCACATGGTAGGACGCCCGTGTGCCCACCACGCTGGGGACTCCCATCCCTCAAGAGCCAGGATTGCTTCACTGGCGCCCGAACCTCACGCCGAACTTCCCCTATGGATACATCTCAAGGAAAGCAGGATGCTCAAGGAGCGCATGCTCAAGGAGAACAAGAGGGGAAGGAGAGAAAGAGGGGCAGGAGGAGGAGAGGGAGGCTGGGAAGAGGAGTCAACAGGGTGGTGCCAGGATGGTGGGTGGACAGGACAGCGGGTGGTGCTGGCCAGCCTGAGCAGTGGTAGGGGGTCCTGGGGAATCCCATGAGGGCAGGGCAGTCACATCCATTTCCAGTGCTGGCTTTGTCCTGTCTCCCCGAAAGTGGCCTGGGGCCATTCAGTGAGTAATGGACTGAGGGTGGCCCTGTTCCTTGCAGCTTTATTTACAAAAATAGGCAAGCCTAGCATTTGGCCAGAAGGCTGTCATTTGCCACTCCCTGAAATCCAGCTGTCATTTCAAAGATAGGAAGACATGCCAAAGAAGAGTCAGGGGTCTGCGGAAACATGCCAGCCCTGGGTGGCTCGGAGCTGAGACCCTACACTACTCAACACTGCTCTTGATCTGAGAGAGACGTGTCTTCCTCAGCTCCTTCCTCACCAGCAGACCTGGGAGGATCAATTCTATTATTGCATTTGTTCTAACAGCAATCCTATTATACAGATTGGTCTCGTTACTCACATTTAAAAATAGAGAAATAGAGGCATCCAGAGACATGCCCCAGACAAATTAGGGCTAATTTTGGTAGTAAGAACAAGACACATTATTTTGGTTCCATTAAGTTCCGTGTAATTCATCAGCCAACCGTGTCACCTTCTGCTTAAGGCACAGTGAGGACCAGAGCAATGGGAGAGCAGGACAGCGGAGTGAGCCTTCCTGCTCTTGTGAGGAGCAGCGCTTCTGAGAGCACCCTGAGGATCTGGCCCTGTGCTGGGTGCCCCAGAACGCAGAGATGGACAAGCCCCCAGCTCAGTGTGCTGGGAGTCATGGGGAGAGCCAGGGCTGGCCCCAATGCCCTCGGCTCACTCTCACGCGGGTGTCAGTGCTGTCCCTGTGGAATGAGGGGAACTGCCTGCGCCGGGAGGCCATGCAAAGTTTCAACTTGGAGTCTTGTCCTCAGGATAAAGCTGCTTTCTCCTTTTCATCTACCCGTATTGGTCTCCTGACCCCCTTTGTGCGAATCAGTGTCCGTGGGAGGCAGTGGTGAACCTGATGCTTTCTTTTCTCATCTCAGAGTCCCAGATCCATTTCTGATAAGACTCAAGGCTACGTCCTGGGTAATTCTAGGATGCTTCCAAAGACTGGAAGCTCTGGGGAGGCTGGCAGCAAGCCTTGGCTTGCTGGCCAGCTGATCCCACCTGCTCACCGTGGCCCGCAGTCCCCCAGAACAGCTCACCACTCAGCCTGCATTTCAGAAGCAGCCCCTAAGATCCTGAAGTTGTTTTCTGCCCCTCGCAAACTGTGTGCACCTGAGCACCTCGCCTGGCCCTCCCCATGGTTCCAGCTACTTGTCCCTTAAACAGGGGTTATAATACATGCGCCTCACAGAGTCGTGAGATTCAAATGAGATCCTGCCTGGGAAATCACTATATTCACCAGAAATCAGAACATGAGGACACCTAATCCACACTGCACTCAGAACCCTGCTTCCTCAGCTCACACTCTTTCTGCTACACAAGTGGTTTTAAATTGCTGACGCAAGGATGGGCCGCAGTGGAATCACCCGGGAAGGCTAGAAAGGGGTCCCCAGGTCCGATCCAGACCGATAACAGCAGAATGGGTTCTGGAATTCTGTATTTCTTAAATGCCCCTCCCTGCCATGATTCTGAAGGAAACCATATGTGGCGGCCACTGACTTGGCATGACCATGATAGTCACTCCTAACTGGTGGCACGTCCAGAACCACGGGCTTTCATGTGGTATCTTGTCTCTCAAGGTGGACTTGTGCTTTCAGGGTCCTTGTGCTCTACCTGGGGAACCTCTACAGCCTGATCATTGCTCTCTTGGACAAAGTTAACAGCATGAACACTGAGGTGAGTGCCCATTCCTGGCAGAGGCCCACTACCCACCCCCACTGCCACACATGCACACACACGTGCACACATACACACAAGGGCCATCCTTGTGGACATCATCACTGCTTATACTTGCATTTCCTACATCACATTCAAAACTCAACTCAGCTGTGGTCTTCTCAAGGTAAGGAGGAAAGAATTAGCCCCATTTCCAAGATAAAGAAACCAAGGACAGGATTTATTGGTAGTGAGTGACCCTGCTGGGAGAAGAACTTGGGTCTTTTGAGTCCCACTCTTTGGGATAGGGCCACACTATTTCTGTCAGTTCCAACAAGATAAGCTACCTGGGTGCCAGAGTGCCTCAGTCAGTTAAGCATCTGCCTTTGGCTCAGGTCACGATTTCAGGATCCTGGGATCGAGCCAAGCATTGGACTCCCTGCTCAGTGGAGAGTCTGCTTCTCCCTCCTCCTCTCCCACTGTGATCTCTCTTGCTCAAATATATAAATAAAACCTTAAAAAAAATAAAAACAAAAACAAGCTATCCACAATGGTTTCAAGTGATCCCAGGATGAGAGATAGACTGTGGGAATCATTTAGCAAATTTGGGAGAAAATGAGCACTCATGGGGAACAGCTCAGAGTGGGTCCTCCATCCCAACCCCGCAGAGGTTTCCACTCACATCCCAGGGTGGCTTTGGAGCCCATCGTAAACCTGTCCACCTGTGAGTTCATCCCATGTAGTAGAGGAGGGGGAGGTAGGGAGGACCAAGAGGATTCTCAGGGTGTCAGCCCACACCACACCAGGCCAGACTGTGACATTCCCAAGGCTCACGGGGCAGAAGAGGCCACAGAGAGAGCAGTTCTGCATCCGAGCCTTGGTGTCGCATAGACTAGGTCCCTGCCCACCACTTGCTAGCAGACCCGGCATGTTCCCCTTCATGGAGCTGAGCATCAAGCTCCTCATCTGTAACAAGGGATAATGAGTCTGACTGATGCGCTTGTAAGGGCAAGAAGATACACCATGTGTCAACCTAGGACAGGATCCAACGCTCACTAAGGTCCAGTAAATACTGGCCATTAAGACCCTGTGTTCATTGTTCAGTCCAGCTGTGAAGTGGCTGGTCATCCAGCAAGGTGCAGGTAGGGACAGAAGAGAGACAGCTGAAGACAGAGAGACGGAGAAAAAGAGAAAGAGATTATTCCCAAGCAAGGCAGAGACATCTTTGATGTTTATGATGCTTCTTTACAAATATGTGGATAATCTTTTTTTCTTCCTTCCCTACCTTCACAGGAAACTGCCACCAAAAATAACACAAGCCACTGGATAGAGTCTACCATCTTCTTTGCTACCAGTACGGTCGCTGAAGAAGATAAATGGTCCACACCTGGGCCTGAGATAGGGCTCGGGAGAAACAGCACGTGGGGCCCAGATGAGACCAGTGTTCCAGCTTACACCTTGCCTCTCTCGGAGGCCAACAAGACCACCATCTACACCCAGAATCCACAAGACCAGTGCTGGGAGACCTACGTAGGGCAGGTGGCTCCCTTTCTGCCTTATAAAGGCCCTCCTCCACACTCATCATCTCATAACTTAATTCTGGAGTGTCATCCTCTCTATCTTGTTGGAAAGAAGAATAAGATTCAGTGAGGGTTTATGATTCTCTCAAATTAATAGGAACAGTCAGCATAAGGACTCATGCTGTGAACTATGTGCTGGTCCTGGGTTTTTTTTTTTCTTTTAAAGATTTATTTATTTTAGAGGAGAGAGTGCAAGTGCTGATAGGGGCAGAGGGAGAGGGAGAACCTCAAGTAGACTCTGTACTGAGCGCAGAGCCCAAAATCGGGCTCAATTCCATGACCCTAAGATCATGACCTGAGCGGAAACCAAGAGTCAGACACTCACCCGACTAAGCCACCCAGGTACCCCTGCCAGCCCTGTTTTAAGGGCTTGGTCCTCATGAGAATCCTAGTATCCTCCTCATAGGCACAGTGGGTAAACTGAGGCTCAACATGTTAAGTAAGTTGCCCAAGGACCCAGATATTAGAAGAAAGAAGGAAGATCTGAACCCAGGCATCTGCCTTCCACACGGGATCTTGTACAGAGAATTTTAGCCCCAAGGTCCCCTGAACTTGAATCATTGACCTCAAGTGGTCTCTGGTGGCTCAGAACCACAGACCTTGGGTTCTCTCCTGGTTTCGTGTAATGTTGGCCTCAGACATCAAAATCCAGATTCAAATTAACAAATACTTACTGAGCACCCATGATGTGACAGACATGAAGACGCTGTGGGTGGGACCCAGCAGCTCAGGCTCACGGAGTTGGCAGAGGAGGGGGCTGTGCAAGAAGAGGTGGACGGAGGCAACGCAGGCCATGGTAGTGCTAAAAGAGTCTGTGTTCCAGGAGATGCTGAAGCTTTCCATCATCGACATGCTCTTCACCGTGGCCAGCGTCCTGCTCATAGATTTCTTCCGGGGACTTTTTGTCCGGTACTTAAGTGACTACTGGTGTTGGGACCTGGAAAGCAAGTTTGTAAGTGAGATGCACAGTCCTCTGGGGAAGTTCATATGGCTAGATCCCCCTCTCCTGACATTGCTGAGAGAAACACAGGGACGGGACAGGGTTGGGGGGCGCAGGGCTGAGTCTTCTTTTCATTCTGACACTGTTTCCTGGGCAATCTCCCCATGTCTGTGGGAGCCAAGAATCCTCTGCATGTGACTATCATGACCTGGCTTGGGCAGAGGACCGTGGAATCTTTTTAATCCAAAAGTTCATTTTCTTTTCTAGCCTGAATATGGGGAATTCAAAATAGCAGAGAACGTGTTACATTTAGTCTACAACCAAGGGATGATTTGGTAAGTACCGAAGTTTCTTCTTACCTTTTCTTTACAACTCATCTGGGTTAAGATTTTGATTTACTTGGTCTGGATGGGACATGCCTGTTATAAACAGCCATGAGAATTAAATAGAACACAAACTGTTCTTAATGAAATCATCTTACAGGTATAGTCATGTTCATAACAGCTTTCTAAGCATTTTGCAGAAAGAAACAATAGAGGAAATAGTCTGTGTTTGGGCCAGTATTGATCACAGCCAAAAAAAAAAAAAAAAAAAGAAAAAAATCTACAGGGGATCATTAGAATAAGCATCTGGGGAGGATCTAGATACAGCTGGGAGGAGAGGCTGCTGAGTCCCCAGAAGGAGATCCAGGAGTGGCTGTGTCACAGCTGGGGCCAGGCCTGCCCTCGGCACCCCACTCGCCCTCCACGTGCCACCCTGTTTTCACTGAGGCTGGGCACATGGCCATCCTCCAGACTGACAGACCAATCCTAGGATGAGGCCAGAAACTTGGGAAATTCATTCACACAGGGCAACTCCTAGCCAAATGCACACAGTGCTATTTGTTAGAATAAAGCAAGTGAAGACAAAGAAGTTTCCATACTTCTTAGATGCTCCATACATTCAGAAAATACAATCTCTCCATAATCATTCAGTAAAGATGCACGAGGAATAGAGAGGCATCAAGTAATATTTCTTCCATCAGATTCTATATCCTTATAGTCCATCCACTCTGTTTTGCAAAATTTTCACAAATACAGTATTAAAGATAATATGTAACACTTATGTAATATTTGCTAGATATCAGGCACTTTGATAACTACATTAATCTCACGTCATCACCAGAAGAAGAGGGGTGAGTGTAGTCCATAAGATACTTGGCGAGAGAGGCCACATTCATATACCTTTTATTACAGCGTATCATTATCATTGTTCTGTTTTATTATGAGTTATTGTTAATTTCCTACTGCGCCTAATTTATACATTAAACTTGATCATAGGTACATATGTATGTAGAGGGAAAACGGGATATATAGAATTCAGCTCTCTGCTGTTCTGAGCATCCACCGGGGTCTTCGAACAAACCCCTGTAGGTAAGGGGAGGTGACTGTAAAAGCAAAAAAGCAATGATCCTCTTGGGATTTCTTGCTATTAATGAATGCAGGTACTAAGGACTGTCTTTCGTAAAAGCGGAGTGGTGTAACACACACTTTTGGACAGTGGGGTAAGGGTATTTGCCCCTTGCCCGTGGTGAGGAGGAAGACAAGCCCGTGGTACACCTGTAAGCAGGGGATGCTCTACATCGGGATCCCTCCTCACCTGCGGAAGGGACTGCCTCCCCCCCACTAGCTGGAGGGCAGGCATAGGGTCTCAGCCCCCCCAAATCTCAGAACCATAGGAAGCAGGAGGGGAACACATGCTAACTAACCAGCCTTCCTCTGTGGCTCCAGGATGGGGGCCTTCTTCTCCCCATGCCTCCCTGCATTCAACGTCCTCAAACTGATTGGGCTCATGTACCTGAGGAGCTGGGCGGTGCTGACTTGCAACGTGCCTCACCAGCAAGTGTTTCGAGCCTCCAGGTCAGTGAGAACTGAGGCTGCACCACATGGAGAGCTGAGGCTGGCCACGCTCTCCTCTCCCGTACGGTGGTCTCCCAGCCGTCCACCTGCAAAACTCTCATGTCTCCCCTCTGAAGCCACTTGTAGTCCCCTCTCTCAGATTTAATCATTGGTCTTTTCTTTTTCTTTTTAATATTTTATTTCCTTATTCATAAGAAACACAGAGAGAGGGCAGCCTGGGTGGCTCAGTGGTTTAGCGCTGCCTTCAGCCCAGGGCATGATCCTGGAGACCCGGGATCAAGTCCCAGGTCGTGCTCCCTGCATGGAGCCTGCTTCTTCCTCTGCATGTGTCTCTGCCTCTCTCTCTCTCTCCTCTCTGTGTTTCTCATGAATAAATAAATAAATAAATAAATAACATCTTTTAAAAAAATAAACTTAAAAAAAAAGAAACAGAGAGAGAAGTAGAGACATAGGCAGAGGGAAACCTGATACAGGGCTCAATCCCAGGACCCCAGGATCATGCCCTGAGCCAAAGGCAGATGCTCAACCATTGAGCCGCCCAGTAACTTTTTACTGGTTAAATAACCCCTTAGAAAATGCACTAAGCATAAATGTCCATCTTGATGGATGCTCACAAGCTAAATGCATGGTAACCAGCACCCAGATCAAAAAATGGAACAAGAGTAACACTAAGAAGCCCCACCATGTACTTGATTCCACTTGCTACCAACCTCTCAGGGCATTAACAGTTCCTGGTTTTTCCTGCACTTAAGTGAAAGTGCACAAAGTCCGCACCCTTTGGTCTCAGGCTTCTCTGCCTCAGTGTTGCTCTGGGAGACTCATCTTGTGGAAGAAATGTCTTTACCCACGCTCCTGGTGGGCGCACCATTTGCTCCCCACTGTGAGTGTAATGAATAACATTGCCCTGAGCATTCTCCTCCTGTGCTTGCTGGGAATACACTCAGGGTGCTGCTGCCGGCTCCCAGGGCTTGCACGTGCCCACCTCCAGCAGACAGGGCCTGAGAGCTTTCGTCTCCTCTAGCAGCCTTGTAGGAGCACCTCAGATGCCCCATAACCTTGCCTTCTTCTCTTCTGCAGTTTCATTTTAGCCATTTTGATAAATTCATAACACATTTTGAACACATTGATTAGAGCCCTGTTGGTTTATTTTGACATAAGAGTTATTTATGTGGGTGTATGTCAGTGGCTTTCAAACCTTTGACCATAAACTACCGGCATGACAATGTATTTATATTTTATCTGGTAAACAGGACACATACAGGCATATATTCATTCATATGTATATTTGTATGTTTTTGTATATATTTATATGTACATACATATATATTTATATATGTATATACACATATATAAATGAATATAAATATATATACACACTGTATATAGTATATGTGCATATTTGTTATATTCATTCATAAATATATATGTACGTATAGTATATACAGAATGTTTTACAAATTAACAATGTTTACTTGCTTACTACCTTCTACGTGCTCTGATATTTTCTATTCTCTTCTAGTCCAGTTTATTTCATTAAAGAGAGAGACAAAGAGCGCTAGCTGATCATCTCTAGATTGACCGCCCTTCCTCTTTCCAGAGCTGTGTGCAGGGCCTTGCCCACCAAATAGATTGGAGCCGTCCTTGGGGAGACCTGGGCAGCCAAGCTCCCTAAAAGCAGCATAGAGTTCAGGTCCCAGGGCTTCATCTGGCAGAGCAATTACCCTGAGCAGCCAGTAGCAGAGAGGAGAAGAGGTTGGGCACAAAACACATTTAAGCAAGAGAGTCAAGAATCACCCCAAAGGAACCTAACCATCCTCAGACGTAGGAGACAAGTTCAAGGCTGGGAACAGAAGAGGGGGTCAGGGGAATAGGAAAAAAGCTCTGAGGTTTTTCCATGAACCAAGCTTACTTGGGGATGACGATGGGTTCGCCACTCCCTTGGCTTGAAGTGGACAGGTGTTCAGCAAATGTCTAGAAGATGAACAGGTTGGGCTGAACCTTCAACGAAGTCCTTTTGGGCACCTGTTTCTAGTTTGCTAAGCTGCCTGTGACCCTGTGACAGACCTTTTCCTAGCTAACAGCTGGAGGAGGATTTTTCTAACTATACAGAGTCAGAGCTGTGGTTCTGGTGTTGGTTCTTTGGGCATATGCATCATTGGCCACTGGCCGTAGAAGGAACTCAGCATGTGGCACGTGGTTTCTTTGCAGATCCAACAACTTCTACCTGGCGATGCTCCTGTTTATGCTCTTCTTGTGCATGTTGCCAACCATTTTTGCTATTGTTCGGTACAAGCCATCTCTAAATTGTGGCCCATTCAGGTAAGTTAAGCGGCTGATGACCAGCGTGGCTGGGAGGGGAAGGGCCCCTGAATTGAAACGAATTCTCCTCCTGACTGATAGAACAGGTCAGCAGCAGAGGAAGACCTTGAACTCCCAGCCTGTGAATCCAAGACCAGTGCTCTTTCCTTGACAGCAGGCTGCCCTCAGAGAGGATCACCTCTGTGCTCATCTTGAAAAGATACAGCTCCTTTAAAAGTACAGTGGGCAGTGGCATAGCTCCTGTGCTATGGAGAAATTCCACCTGGCCAATCTTTCCCTTCCAGAACTCAGGAAGCTCTTATTAAAAACTAACCCACACCACCTATGTTATTTATCTAACGGCATCAAAGCAGTGATTTCTAGACTTCTTCACCTTAACATTTGCTTGAGATCAGTTTTGAAACTATATAGGACATTTAGAGTCTATGTTTCTATACATTTTTAAACACCCGCAAACCATGACCACTGACTCCCCCTTCAAATCTAGTATTAATCACACCATTAGTTTATAAAAAATCATCTTAGGATAATTGTGTATCTTTCACATGTGGATATTTGCCCCACCTTTGAGGACTGGACTCTAGCCCTATAGCTGTTTCTTGATGGCTTCGCAGCCTCCTTCTGCCAAAAAGCAATCCAATCTGGAGTTCTGTCTTTCTCTCAGTGGACAGGAGAAAATGTATGACATCGTATCAGAAACCATCGAGAAGGACTTCCCCGCTTGGTTTGGCTCTGTAGTGGGGTACCTCAGCAGCCCCGTGGTCATCCTGCCGGCTGTGTTGCTGCTTTTGTGAGTACTGCACACAGCCTCCCTGCCAGCTTTGGGGGACTTCTGTGCCTTCAGCCAGCAAAGGAGCACCACTTTCCAATAATCATATAAAATCATTGTATTCCCTGCAAAGTCACGTACAGAGCTGGATGATCCAGGCAGAGGCTGAATCACACGGGAGCCAGGGAGGTCCATGGCAGCCCATTCAGGAAGTCACTAGGGCCACAGCTTTGGGGCTTGAGTGCCATTATCATTGTCCTATTGGCCAGAGGTTGAAATAATCAAGGGGTTTTACAATACAGCTAAGTAGCTTCTGCTTGTTTTTGACTTAGAAGAAAACTACAGGGAGCGGGTCAGGCACTCATAGCATGATATGCTGTAAAACACCCCTCAGGTCCCCGTCCCGTCCTTATGTCCTTATATGACCCTGCAGAAGTCCACATCAGGGAGATCACAAGTTAAAAAGAGAGGAGGAAGGAAGGCAGCCCCCTCCCAGTGGCTCTGGCCAGCTCCGGCACTCACTCACACCATCGTCCTCAGGGTGGGGTGGGGGTTGACTCTCCAACATGGGACCTGGGGGCCTCTGGTTCCCTCCCACCAGCCTGGTTGGGAGGGTGTCCTGGGCCGCCGACACCACGTGGGGCTCACTCATGGCCCGTGCTCTCCTGTTCCAGCATGCTCATCTATTACCTTCAGAGCATCGCAAGGTCCTTAAAGCTCAGCAACCAGCAGCTCCGAATGCAGATCCAAAACGCAAGTATCGCATCCTCTTTGCTTTGTCATGTGTGTCAGTCACACGACAGGTCTGGCCAGCAAGGGAATACAGGTGAGGTCCCGTTTTCAAATTACAATGACTCTTGGCTACCCTGGGTGCATAAGGCCCTGCCTCCCCCAGGCTTCACAGAGTTATTTCTAAGAATACCCAGGGACAGCTCCTATTTGCTCAGGAACTAGCAAACTCAGGCTTTCCTCCTCCCCCAGGGGCCTTGCTGATGCCTCGAGCACTTCAGCGCCCTCTTGCAGCTGCCCCAAGGCTTCAGAGTGCTGGGTTCTCTGTGCCAGACCCCAAGGAAGGAGAAAGGGCCCCTTCTCTAGCATCTGAGCCCTTGCACTCTGCTTGGACCTGAAGACACACCTTTTTCGTGACTTGTAGACCCTGGTCATCATTATCCCCTCTCCCATCTGGGACTTCACTCTCAGAATGGTCAGAGGGAGACCGACAGGTCCTGTCTCTGCACACTGCAACCCCCCAACCCCGCCCCAGGCCAGGACTGGGGAGGCAGGGGTGGCACCGGCCCTCATGCTTATGCTGACCCTGCCCCACATGGCGGGGAGTGGGTGGCCCCCTTGCCTCATCCCTGTCCCAGAACTCTGTGCAAGAAATATCTGCCTTCTTCAGTTTTAAAAACATAAGCTCCCATGAATATCAATTCACATAAAGAAACAGTTCCAGCAACAGTCAAATAAGAAATGAGTTTGGAGCTGCAAAGGGCATTTTGGGGGAGAAACATACATCTTCCATGTTGTCGATCTCTATTTTTCTCTTGTATCTCAGGTTAACCATATTGGCAGAGTCTGTACACGGTCTTAAGGTAAAACTTGCTAGGTTAAACTTCAGGTGTTGAGTGTCAGCATTTCTCATTCAGCTAACAGGTCTGAGTCCCAAGTATGCCGTCCCCAAGTGACAGCAGTGGTAGGTCATGACCCAAGGCATGAGCAATGACACAAATCTCCCCCCACCCTCCACCCAAGAATAGTATTATTATTTCTTCCTGCTAAATCCCAAACAAACACATGCTTATCATTTGTATTTTAGGCCAGATCTGAAGATAAGAAAAAGGTCGCTCAAATGGTAGAAGGTAAGCATAAACGAAAATGCCAGGTGTCTCAATTGGGGACTATATTTAAAAACACAGCAGTTTAAGGTATACCACCAGTAAAAATTCCTGATAAACTGGCTTTCACAATTAATGACGCACGATAAAATAAAATCTAGGGATATAAATATTGGTTTAAATTTACAATTTTTACATCATACCCAGGCCTGTGAATAACACCAAAACAGGTCTGAAATCAGAAGGAAGTTTAGTTTTGACGTAGGGAAGAAAGAGAAACAGAAAATTGGAGAAAATCCCTAAGAATGTCTGTACTTCTCAGTGGCCATTTCTTCCTGGCAAGACCCCCGTACTCCCCCGCCCAGGTCTCTGCGCCGGAATCTAGCCTCCTACAGGCATGTCCTGGCATCCCCCACCCACACACAGGGTGGTGCCAGATGGGCACCCCCAGCCTCGAACACGACAGGTGCACCTTCTTTTCCCACATTCTCCAGCAGCACCTGGACAAACCTGTTCCCACTAGGCTCCTTGAGGGAAGAGAAAAGAGCCTCCTGCAGAAAGAAGGGAAACAGAAAGCAAGAGGCTGGTGAGGCCAGAAGGGAAGCAAGTGGGCAGGGATGGCCAAGAGAAACCTGTCTGTCTACCCCTTGGGGCCACTGAGAGACCCCATGGTGAGCTGGAAGGATCAACGGGCAGCATTAAAATGGCCAATCTGTGTCTGCTTGAACACATAGCTAAAGCGAGAGATCTGTTCCCCTGGGGAGTGGGGGGGGGGGCGGTGCTGAGCAGGAGCCACCAGCCCTGAGGGGGTTAGGTTTGCCCCACCGCCTTGTCAGAAAACAGCCTCTGCACAAAATACTACAGAAAGGGACTCCAGCTCACGCCATCAAACCCCACTGAAAGTCAAGTACTGTGTGCCAAAGGGACATAGTTAACTTTAGCTCACATCGTCTTCAAAACCGAGGGTCTCTGGGACCTCTCTTAGGAGGACTGGGGAAGTATCTGATGGCTGGTTTTTAATTTCTTCTACATCTTCTTTCAGAATGCTCTGTGAACTGCTTCCCAAAATTACAATTGTCATATCGGCTTTATTATATGCATGTAGAGATAAACCACCAGAGCCCCAAAGCTGGTGAACCACCTGCTTTGTCTCTGGGGGGGGCGGGGTGTCAGATGGCATCTGTAAAGCCTCAGGGTTCATGTGAACGCACGCTCCCTCCAGGCTCCAGCTCCCTGTGAAGAAATGATCTGAGTTAGGGAATGTTTGTTGCCCGCGGGATAGGTGTAGCTGCAAACACATACAATTCTTTGCAGACCCAGAAGACCTCCTCTTCTCACATCCCACCCTCTCCCTGCAGCCCGGATCCAAACCCAAGAGGAAAGCAGCAAGAGGCTTCCCAAGGACGGTGACCCCAGCAGCCAGACGTCCTCAGCTCACTCGGCGACGCCCCAAAGCAATGGCACTGTGGTCAGTTTGGATACATCCAACAGCAAGAGTGGCAGGGTAGGGACTGTTGGCCAGCGCACGCCCCCGAGTCCCCAGTCAGGCCTCAGCAGTCCCAGCTGGTCTCTTCCTGGCACCTCCAAATCCAGGCCAGAGCAGGAAACTCACAGGTGAGCTGACCCACCACATAGCAGGACACCTGCCTCCCTGCTGTGACACCTGTCAGTGAAGGCCCAGGGGCCATCAAGTATAGGATAAAGAGCTCTTAGGGATCTGAGGGCCTTAGCAATTGCAGGGAGGCAGGGCCATCAGATTCCAGGTCTACCAGAAGGCCATGAGGCCAGCTGGTACTGAGAAGGAGTGGAAGGGCAATGTGATCAAACAGGACAGTGCTCCTCCTAGGCCTTCTGACAGATAACCTGTGAGCAAACATTCCTGCCAGCCTAGGGTATGCACTCCTCCTATAGCCCAAGGGGGAAAAGTGTCTTTTAGAATTGTTATATCTTTTACCTTTTTAACTTCACACTGGCCATATTATTGGCAAGATCTTCTATATTTTAGGTGTAGGCTGGCCAAGTAAGTGGCAAGTTGTCTCTGTAGGACATGGGGTCAGGTGTGTGAGCCTTACTTACACATAGGACATCACTGGAACCCCTGGATTTCCTTCACAGAGGTAGAGCTTCTGGAAGGATGGACTGACCCGAATGCGTATGGAGAGTTATACTGGATCTGAACGTAATACGGTGAAAAGAACACAGATCAAACACAGGGGTTGGGGTTTGTTGGGGTCTGGGCTTTTTCCGTCCAGTGATGAGGTTAGCAAAGGACTTGAAGTCCTGCTACAGGGGAGTTGTCTTCACGTATCTGTAGGGTCTTGACAAGGAGGAGGGAGGGATTCCATTGCACTGGGTGGGCCCCAGGCAGGTTGGTCAGAGCAGCTGGACAGCTGCCTGGACAGTGCTCCTAACGTGCTCTCTACAAATGTTATTCCCACCGTGTGCTCCTGGACAAGAGGGGGCTTCCTCGTGAAATAATTCAGCAAAGCACTCTTGGCCCTACCCCTTCCAGGGAGCATCACTGTGCGCATCATTACATTAAGGGCTCTAAGAATTCCAGGAGTAAAGACATCCATTTAGCCCCATTCCCCCAATGCACCTGCGCATCCATCCACAGAATGTGCAGGAACACTTTGGATCGTGCGTCAGGGCACTGGCAGAGAGCGCATTGCCCTTGCTCTCGGTGCTCAGAAGGCACGGGCTCAGCCGGTGCCCACAGCCCAGGGGCTTCACCACCTCTGTCTTGCAGGCATCTCCGTGGTTGGTGCGCCAGCACAGGGGACCAGCACCAGGACACATCCTGCTCGCCCACGCCGCTGGCAAAGCACACCAAAGACATCCACCAAAGACATCCTCTTTTCCGAAAAGACTTTCAGCAGATCAACGCTGCTCTTTGTGGTCCAGGGCTCTCCACCTCAGTGCCACACGGTCCTAGGTCCCATGCCCCCAGATACTACATCATTAATGAACGAGACTCTCGCAAAAATACCCACCCAACTCTCTGGCCAGAAAGACATTTCAGGATGGATGCCTTAGGGGACATCGTTGAGAGGTACCCCAGGAACACGCGACGCCGTGTGTCCCGGGCCCCCCGGCAGGACCGCTCTCCACAGCTGAGTGAAGAAGAGGAAGATGCCCCGGAGAGAGAGGTAGTCGAATGGTCTTTCCACCCACAGCCCCTGACAGGTCTCCAAGGGGCCTTTTATGTTGGCAAAAAGTCAGAGAGTCAGAGCCTGGGCCCTGAGCACCAGGGAAGGATGTACTACACGTCCTGGAACTATGGTTCTGAGGCTCCACTTGACAGGCTGACGTATGTGCAGAAAAAGCCACGTTCCCGGAATTTCCAGTATGCACAGCGCCCCCCAAAGCTCCGAGGCCAGCCCAAGGTTAAGCCATCCCTTGCAGAATCTGATTCCACATCGGCAGCGTCCAGCAGCGACCAGCAGAGCAGCAGCAAGGACCAGTATCTGCGGGCCACCCACAGCCAGGGCAAATTCCCAAAGTCTTTGTGCGAGCTGGGCAGGAGGAAGGCCATGTCCAGGCAGGAGCTGATTGCTGATCTGAACGACCTGACTTGTTCCAACGTCTAGGGGTTTCTCCTGGCATCCCCGTCAGAGAATCGGGGCCCTGCTGGATGCCGGTGTGGTCTGACAGCGTACGGTCCCCACCCTTCTGGAAGGAGACACGAACACAGAGTCCTGAGACACAGCCTCACCTCCCTCTTCTCCAGCAGCCGCATGCCAGTGGGCAGCATCCAGTGCCTCTGGAACATTAGGCTGTCATTTCAGAACCTCCATCCTTTCCCTCCATTTCGGGGGACACACATCCGAGGCAAGCCAGACAGCTCATCCGGATGGCTGCACCTCTTCTGAGATGTCTCTGCCCGACCTCCATCCTGTGTGTGCGCTGCGTGTACTGCCGTGCCTGGGATGTCTGTTTTAGCACACAGAACTCAGTCCTCCCTGATAAGCATCCAGGAGGGATGTGTCTGCCCTTCGAGATTTCACTGTGCTTCTCTGGTTCACATGAATGATCAGCTTAGGAATGACAGGAGGAACTAAAATTTGAGAGCCTATTTTACTATATACCAGGCTGCTTGCATCTCTTTGTTAATGATTCAGGGACCCTGGGATGGGAGGCAGCAGAATCTTTAAGGCATCGTGATTCCTTTAAGGATGGGAATCAATCTGGTTTCAGGCTTGGCTGGACCTGAGGATCCTCAGGATCCTCTATCTTTTTACCTGTTAGCATTCCTTGTTGGTTGGCTTCATTTTCCCCTGCTGGTGACAGGCTTCCTCCAGGCAGTGGGGGGAAGAGGAATTCACAGCCACAGAAAATACCAGGCTTATGCCACCCAGCTGACGAGCCTGGGGGAAAGAACAAGGTGTCCCTCCACACTTCATGCCATCTTCACCTTAAAGGCTGGTATGCCTTCTGTTGGGCGGGCTTCTGCAGCAGCTTCTGAAGCAGCGTGGGTCAGTCTGCTGTGGTCAACCGAAGGGTGTCCCCTATTCCTGTCTCTGAGACCCTTCTTTCCACTCTAAATTGTGTCTTTCAATTTTTGTCTCCTCCATCAGCCTGAGTGCCTGTAGAACAAGGCATTGTTTGTTTATGTCTGCATCCTCAGGAACCAACACATAATCAGCATTGTACTCAGTCTCTATGGCTGTGTGACACTTTGTGGTTTAGAGCAACATGCATTTATCATCTCAGTTTCTGTGGGTGGAGGGCAGACACAGCCTAGCTGGGTGCTCTGCTCAGCATCTCAGGCAAACTGTCACCAGGCAACTCATCGGAGATGAGGGGTCCCCTCTGAGCAGCCGCCTGTGCTTATTGGGAGAATCATTTGCCTGAGGCTGTGGGAGGCCCTCTGCTTCCCTGCTCCATGGCCCTCTCCCCAGCACGGCTGTTTGCACCTTCAAGACCAGCAAGAGAAGCCCCTTCGGCTCTGAATCTCCTTTTCCAGGAACGTCCCTGGAGCTTAGAAAAGACCCCACCTGATCAGGTCAGGCCCACCCAGAATAATCTCCCTTTTCATTACTTCAAGGTTAACTGGTCAGAGACCTTAATTACATCTACAAAACCAGTTCATCTTGACCATATAACAGAGCCTAGTCAAAGGAGTGAAATCTCATCCAGCACGCTCAGCAGGAGATTACATGGGGAACGGACGTCAGGGAACAGGAATGCTGGGGGCCGTGTCAGAATGCTGCCTAACACAGATACTTGTTGAATGCCAATGGGTGGGTGAACAAAATGAATGAATTACACTAATGAATGATTGCAAATGACGGGGCGAAGGGATTACCATCCAAGATCTACTGCCAATTCTAACCAGAAAGGAGAGTTCAGTGTAAATAATGTTGCTTTAAAAACAGACTCAGATGAACACTCCTCCCCAAATGCATGACAAGAGGCTGCGTATGTGTTCATATTTTCATGAAATATGACATATTTTCAATGTAGGTCAAAGCCATGAGAGATCCCAGGGGTCACAGTCCGTTCAGGAAGAAACATTCTGCAACATCATGGCAACATGTGTTTGTCATAGGGGCACCCACAGTAGCAGGATAAGGGTCCTCTCTTCCAGGTGTTTAGTCTAGGGGTGAGGCTCAGAGCAACTTGGAGACCGAGACATACTTTGGAAAGGCCCAGCCCTACAGGAGGACCGTGTGTCTGCGAGGCACTCCACCAGCAGGCCAGGCAGGCTCTGCATCATTCCCAAGGACACACGAATGTTGCCAACACACACCCACGGCAGCAGGTGTGTGTAGCACTTTTCCCAGAGCATAGCTCACCTGCACACCTCACTCAGTATCGGGCTCTGTCTTTCACCTAGAGAAATCTGAAAGATACAGAATAATACAAAGCCTGGTGTGAGGAGCACCCCTATTCATACTGTGTCAGCCACCGCTGCTATGTTATCTTATTTCCACCTGGTCACTTTACTATTATTAAGAAAATATTACAGATATCATCAAAGTGCACTATAATCCCCACACATAGATCACACTCCTCATACTGCCAAGAATTTGGTGTATGTCCATTAAATTGTTTATAGTTGGGATGCCTGGATGGCTCAGCGGTTGAGTGTCTGCCTTCGGCTCAGGGCATGATCCCGGGATCCGGGATCCAGTCCCACATCGGGCTCCTTCCAGGGAGCCTCCGTCTCCCTCTGCCTGTGTCTCTGCCTCTCTCTCTCTCTCTCTCTCTCTCTCTCTGTGTGTGTGTGTGTCTCATGAATAAATAAATAAAATCTTAAAAAAATAAATCGTTTATAGTTATATATGCTATGTATGTAAATATGTACATCTAAACATCCATGAACAATGTGCAAGCATGTTTTACTCCAGAAAATGCTATCATAAAGCATGTATCATCCTACATCTTTATGTTTGACGTCTGTGATAAAATGTATCGATCAAGCTCCCTGCATACTATTTCGCCATATGAATAAACTCCGTATCTATCCATCTCCTATGTGTGAACATTGAAATCATCCCCACCTCAGCTAAGAATGTTGCACTCAACATCTTTGATAAGGCTTCAACTGCGCACGTGCTGGTGCCGACCTGGGAGTGGATGCTGGTGCTGCAGGAGGGGAGATCCTGGCGCACACCGGCTGCTCCTCTGAGTCTCCAGGAGTCCAGACCCCCATGCAAACTCCCCCTGCAGACCACGAGGGTCACTTTGCTTCCAGCCCTACCCAACCCTGATATTCCCACCCTATGTAAAATTTTGCCAACCTGCCGAAAAAAATTTAAAAAGCCCAAGTTATTTTAATTAATTTGCATTTCCCTGGTTGTTAGCATCCTCCTGTGTTGATTGGCCATCTGCATATTCTCTTCTGTGAACTGATGGCCGACCGCCTTTGCTGGGTTTTCTTTTGGCAGAGGCCACCAGCTCCAGGCTTTCGTCAGCTGCAGCCCTGCAGGAAGCTTCGCACCTGCACCATCCAACACCTTCTCCTAACTGACGCTCCCCTACATTCCTTTGGCTCCCAGCCATGATCTCTGTGGGTGGTGGGTGTGGTGATTGACATCTGTCTTTCGATCTCACCACCAGTGAGGACATGACCTACACTATGATTAAAAATCTCTTCTAAAAAGCCCTATGGAACAAATTCCTTTCGGCTGTCAGAAATCCTAACAACCGCCTCCATTAACTATGGAACGTGATCTCCTCTTGATAGGAACGGTCTGGTAAATATCCCAGTAACCTAATGACGCACTCTCTTGGCCACTGCTTATGCCTCCAAAGTCACGAAGGCTAGAACATTTGGAGAAAAGTCTTTTGTGCATCTTTAAAAGACTCATTTCTGTAGTCTGAGGGGTATTTATGCTTTGCAGCCACTCTGTATACGTGCTTGTGTGTGTGTGTGTGTGTGTGTGTGTGTTCCCTCTTTGTAGGGTTTGTAGATTGTTGAAGTTCTGATTTTACTCTTTGCCCATTTCCTGGTCAATACTGTGTATCCTTAGGGGAAGGAGGATGTGGTCAAGTGTCAGTAAGCCCATGCACTTCAGAAAAGGAAGTGGGTGAGGGCCACGGCTCTGCTCCTTACTAGCTGTCAGGCCCGGTGTACCCTATGTAATTCAGTTTCCTAACCTGTAAAATAGGATTGTGGTCTGCACCTCCTAGGGCTGGGCCCTTGTAAGGGTTGGAACAGCACAGGTGAAGTGCTCAGGACTCGGGCTGGCAAGTACACCTCAGTAACAATCAGCTGTTGCTAAGAATAAACAAACATACACATGCTTTCAGGAGATTCACTTGTGTAGACAGCACCTGCCTGAGCTCACATAATAAATATAACATAATAAACACCACAGTCTAAGTGGAAAGCAAATACTCCACTCAGGAGCTTCTAGGGTTGGAGTGCTTGCATATGTGGCACTCCCCTCCGTGCTCTGGAGCTGGTTTGGGGTGGACACCGCCAGGCCCCCCCACACTGTACACACCTATTTAAAATTCACCTAGGACTTCAGTGGGGTCTGCTGTGATAGCTGGGTTACTTCAGAGGCCTGAGGACCTTGTGGAAGGGCCTCTGAGCAGTGGAGACTACAGACCACCCCCCAACCTCCTTTGCCTCAGCTCTGAATTACAGCCCCAGGCCCCACTGAGCAGCTGGTCGTTGGGCGGACCTCCCATGCCCTGCCCAGCCCGCTGCTCATTGTGCCTGCCAGGCCTCCACAGACCAGGGGTTTGCCCGAGATTGCCCTGACCTCACCAGTCCTCTGCTGCCAGCTTGTCACAGGCCTTGGGGTTCAACAGTTTGCCCCTCCAAATATTTCATCTACCCAGTACTTCCCATCTTCTAAGAGTAAACATTAAAAGCTGTTACAGTACTAAAAAAAAAAAATTCAAAACCAATACTCCATTGATAAAAATAGAAATCTCTTTAAGCGTCTGATGTCAAAAGGAAGTCACTTTGTATAACAAGACTTACTTTCCTTCAGCTTGTTTGTTTTCAGAGTGTTTTATCACCCCCCCCCCCAAATTCTGATAGGCCCCAGCCTGACCAGGTCTCGAGTTGCAGCTCTACAGAAATAGTCTACACTGAATTTTTCAATAAGGCTTTTTTAATTTAAAAAGTCTTACATGTGGGTGCCTGGGTGGCTCAGTGGTTGAGCGGCTGCCTTTGGCTCAGATCATGATCCCAGGGTCCTGGGATCAAGTTCCATATCAGGCTCCTCACAGCAAGCCTGCTTCTCTCTCTGCCTCTGTCTCTGCCTCTCTCTCTGTGTCTCTCATGAATAAATAAAATGTTTTTTTTTAAAGTCTTACATGTTGGTAATTAAAATAATTAAACAGTATATGATGATATAAAATTTAAAAAGCAATGTCCTTTGGCATTATTCCCTACTGCTCCCAATTTATTCTCTACCTTTCTAGAAGTCAATCTGCTAATCAAGTAGATGTATAAACATATACAAACATCTCTAGTGATTTCTCTCTCACTCAGGATATATACATATATGACATATTATACATAAAAATGTATTGTATGCTAAGCACCAGTCTAATTGTTATTCGTCTATTACAACCTGTGACCCACTTGTTAACTTTATGAGTTAGTAGTACTATTATTCATTTTCCAAAGGAGGATACTAACATCTGCAAGGATCAGTGACTTAACCACAGTCACAGCTAGTAAGTGGTGATGCTGGGATCTGAACCCAGGCAATCTGAGCTGAGCACCGACTCTCTTACCTACAGTACTCTTGTCCTGCAATTTACACATTTGGACTTTATAAAGTCCTTATGTGTGTGTGTGTATACATATACACACACACCTTTATATATATATTAATATATTTTTATATATACTTTTATATATCAATATACTTTTATATATATAAATATGATTTTATATATATATAAAAGACATTTGATGGGAGGGATAAGAACTTAATATTAAGCTATGTTTAAAGTTAAGTTTTATTTTTATTTTTTTTTTAATTTTTTTTTATTTATTTATGATAGTCACATAGAATGAGAGAGAGAGAGGCAGAGACACAGGCAGAGGGAGAAGCAGGCTCCATGCACCGGGAGCCCGATGTGGGATTAGATCCCAGGTCTCCAGGATCGCGCCCTGGGCCAAAGGCAGGCGCTAAACCGCTGCACCACCCAGGGATCCCTAAAGTTAAGTTTTAAATACCATTTATTTCCTTTGTAGAGAATAAATTGCTCTTGGTTAGAATAGTCTATTCATATCAACTCTATTTCTAGACTGCTGCCTGAGCTCTAGGGAGCATTTCCTGTTCCAGCCCCATGTTCCTTCATCAACAGTGTCACACTGTTTCAATGGCTACATAATTTTCTACCAAATGAAAGTCCTATCACTTTCTTTACTCTATTGACAAAGACTGTTTCCCGTTGCAAGATCAAACTTACCTGTCTTTGTGCAGGAGGTATTAGGTCAGAACACAAATAAACTAAAATTTTAAGATAGCTTGTTTTCTTCCCATGAACTTACACTCCGCCCTCCGTGTATAAAAAAATTGTTTCTCCATCCACTTGCCAACACAGGGAATTAAAAACCTCTTCCTATCGACCCATTGGATGGGTATGCATGTGCCCTCTTGTTTTATTCAGGAATTCCCTAGCTATGAAAGTTCTGTATCTTTTCATGTCTTTATTCCCCCTGTTAATTTATTTCTCTGCAGAGTATCCGTTCACTTCTGATGTATTTGTTTTGTCTTCTGGGTTGTCTGAAAATTTCCTAATAATTTATAAGAGCACTTGGTACACGAAAAAAATTTACTTTCAGCCAAAATATGCTCCAATTTTTCCTTCAGACTATTACCTAACTTTTTTAAAAAAGATTTTATTTATTTATTCATGAGAGACAGAGAGAGGCAGAGACACAGGCAGGGGGAGAAGCAGGCTCCCTGTGGGAAGCCAATGTGGGACTTCATCCCAGGACCCCAGGATCACAACCTGAGCCAAAGGCAGATGCTCAACCACGGAGCCAGCCAGGTGCCTCTTTACCTAACTTTGTATAGTATTTTTGATGTCCTTAATTTTTTTAAAAAAAAGTGTGGTTACCTTATTATTTTTTTCTTTTATGGCTCCTAGAAACACCTACACGCGTCACTTCACTTGCCCATCACAATGGCACACAGAGACACCTATTAGTGTCCCATTTCCCCTTGGAGCAGGCTGAGTCTCCAAGAAGTTACGAGACTTGACCCAAACCACACAGCCACTACCGGGTGAAACTGGTCCAAACCCTGGGACTCCCTCATTCCTCATCCGGGGGCTTCTTTAAAAGCTGGCAGCCCATTGCATCTTCAGAAAAGAGTTTCAAGTCGTCCTTTTATTTAGAACTGGTTTTTCAAACCTTTAAATGAAACGATCAGCAGACCAACAGAAGCACAAATGACCTCGTGCTGACGTTTTCGGATATTTAGTTGGTTATAGAAGAGGAAACTGAGCTTGCTTGCCATTCACACGCCGGGGAGGTGACCCCACTGGCTCCCCAAGACGGAGCCACCTGCACGCAGAGACCTCCCCCAGCTGCCCGCGCATCGCAGCGTGCGGGACGCATCCCCTTAGGTATTCCGGCCCAGAGAACCAAACGCTAGAGAACAAGGTGAGGGCTGATGTACGGAGGTGGAGAGGATGGGCATTAAGGGGGCACCTGTAGTGGTGAGTGAGCATGGGGTGTTGTAAGTGATGAACCACTGAATTCTACTCCTGAAACCAACATCGCACCGTATGTTCACTACCTAGAATGTAAAGGAAAAAGAAGTGCCCAGCACTGAACGCACCAGGCGCTCACTCGGCCGGGCCCCCAGGGGTTCAGCCCCAGGGGAGGGGGGCTCCCCAGCTCCCCACTTCTGCAGCCCCTGCGTCAGGGGCACAGACTCCCAGAGCCCACCAGGGGGGTCACTGCCGGAGGAGCCCTCTCGCCTCCGGTCCGCCGCCGCCCGCCGTCCCGCGCACCCCGGGGCCCGCAGCAGCCGTCCCTGAAGCTCATTTCTGCGGATCCCCGGGCGCTGCGAGCGGAAGTCCAGGCTCCGGGCCGCCCCGGGCTCCGCCGCGCAGGGCCCCTCCCAGGCGGGGGGCGGCCCCGCAGGTCTGCAGCGCGCCACCCGGACCGCCCAGCCTGGCTCGGCCGGCTCCGATCCTGCCAATCTCGGGGCGGGGCGGGGCCCGTCCGCCGGCCTGGGCCAATCCAAGGCGCTGGGCGGGGACAGCCCACCGGCCTGGGCCAATCGGGGGCGTGGGGCGGGACCGAGGGTAAGGCTCCGCCCCCGGGCCGGGACCGTGCGGCTTCCCAGACCCGGAGCCCGCCGCCACCACCCCCACAGCCGCGCGCAGCCCTCGGCGCGATGGACCCGGCGGTGGCCGCGCAGATGAGCGAGGCGGTGGCGGAGAAGGTGCTCCGGTACCGGCGGGACGAGTCAGGATGGAAGATTTGCCGGGAAGGCGTGAGTGAAGAGCTGGGCAGGAAGGGGTCGCGTGCTCCCCGGGGGGCTGGGGTCTCCCAAGACCCCAGGCTCCTCCTCTTCCTGCTCCTTTTTGGCTCCAGCATCCTGGAGCTGAATTGCGGGTGGGATCCCATTGAGGGTTGTTTCCTTAAAAAATACTGGGCCTGTTGTGCGCCAATGACTTGGGGAGATTCCTCTGTCCCCTTCACTGAGTGACTTGCCCAAGGTCACCTGGCTAGTAAATGGTGGTTAGGCTCCAGAGCCTGCGCTCAACACAGCAGGAACCGGTCTGCGTTCCCAGGAGGGCGGTATGGGAATAGTTTCTGCTTCTGCGCGACTTCTGATTTTTAAGGAATTGACCAAAATTGCTTGAGGAGACAAATTGCATGATGGCTTTTTGGAGGAAAACCACTCAGACAGAGCTGTTCGAATCAGCCAGTTAAGATCCCTTGCTCGATCGAGTTCTACTGTAGGACAGCTTTACCCAGGACCTGTCCCTGCTCTGCGACACATGAGCCGGATCACCTTGGAGCATCGCATCTCCTGAGGCTCCAGGCTTCTATAGAACAGGGGATTGGGTCAGGTGATCTCCCAGAGCCTTTCTAGCTCTAAATTGTACGATTCTGTGCCTTTTGACAGAATGGAGTTTCAGTTTCCTGGAGGCCATCTATGGAGTTTCCAGGGAACCTGTAAGTGCATGCCTTGTCAAAGATTGTCAGAGGTGCCACACCCTTCGTGATGTCTCTGCGGGTTTGCTTCCTAAAATAATTCCACTCTGCCCTAGCACCCTGGAATCCACTTGCCAGTTATCTTCCAGAAAAGCTTCTGTTTTTACCTAAATCATTTCCAGCAAACTGTATCTTGTGAAAGCTTATGATCCGTTTCTGCAGGTCTGAGGGGAGGTGGGCTGGTAGCTTTCAGCCCCTGATCTGCAAGGCTGTCCTAAAGAGCAGTGACAGATGTGACATCTAGTCCTTCTGAATAATCCCAGGATATAAAGATTTGGTGGATACCTGGGATCACATTCCTTTTGTGCTCCAGGTACCGGGGAGAAGGCATTGTGAACTCGACACCAGAGAAAGTGTGGGGCTGCATAAAGCCGCTTGCTGGGACCCTGCGAGACAAGTGGGATGAGAATGTGAGCAGCTTTGAAATTATCGAAAGCATCACTGATGTAAGTCTTTTCAAGCACTGCTACCCTGGCAGTAACCTGACCTTGTCCCTCTGGAGGGGGTCAGTGACACCTTTTGACAAGGGGAGGACCCTGTACGCCCCTGGTACCCAGCAAACACGGGCTGCCCACTGCTTGCAACACTCAAGGCCAGCCCTGGCCCGGGTACAGGTGGGAAACAGTGTGAACAGATAGGTGAGGAAGCCCTAAGCAGAGCTCTAAGAACATAGCAGGCGCTGATGAAGGAGCGCAGCGTGAATGTGGGCTCCCAGATGAGGTTGCTAAAGCAATGCCTGGATTTGACTCATCAGCTCAGGTCTGAGATATTGCCCCGTGATGGGGCCGTGATAATGAATCCAGAGTCCCAGCTGGAGTCTGGATTCTCTGCCAGCTGTGGGACTAGGCCAGGTGGCAGCCCTGGATTATAGCTTCTCCATTGGTACAACGGGTGTCATCTCAGCTAGCACTGCCCAATAGAACTTTCCGAAGTGATGGAAATGCTCTGCAACAACCCTGTCCACTACCCCCTAGCCACTAGCCCCATGTGGCCACAGAGCATTTAAAAGGTGACTAGTTTGAAGAAATGAATTGTTAATTTTATTTATTTTTCATTACTCTCAGTGTAAATTTAAATAGCCACATGGAGCTAGTAGCTACCATATGAGCACAATTCTAGGTGCTTCTGTCTAAAGAACATTAAGCAGTAGGATCTTGTAGCATTAAGAACCCACCTCATTTTGATTACAGAAGTCAAGAAGGAAAAAAAAAAAGTCTTAGCCACAACTAATAACAAGGTTACCTTGGGGAGATGTTGCCAACCTGCTTGATTTTGACATGTGTAAATGTGACGCCCTCTTGTGTGTATACACAGATGGTGTTGTGAAACTTGAGGCCATAGTTCTGTTCTGGTCAATCTGGAGGAAACGGGTGTTCTTAGCATGGACTGAAATTCACATTTCAGTTCACTGTCAAGAGTTTATGTGAGTGTTCCCTGAAGGGTGGGGTCACACACCCCTGGAACACAAAGGATAGGAGAAATCTGACATTAAATGGCACATGGTGATGGCACCCCAACTCATTTGGGTTTTTTCAGTTCCTTTGATAGCTTGAAGGGGAGAGTTTCAGTTAGGTGCTAATGTGCCTGTGACACCCATTTAACACTTGCTAATCATCTCCTTTATGACAAAACTGGCCCGCCTGCCTCAACCTCAGAATCAAAATTAGGATCCAACAATCCTTTGTATGGCTATTTTGCAGTTGCCTTTATGCCAAGTAATACTTTTTTCCCCCCACTTCAGATAGTTAAGTAGTTTTCTTTTAAAATAAATTTATTCAAGAACATTTAGTTAACAGTATTAAGTGAATAACAACATAGAGGCTACCAGAAAGAGTAAAAAATTATTGTGAAGACAATATACAAAAAATCCTATGCAAATGCCATGAGTTGAGAAACCATGGACTAACGCCCTTTATATCATTACACAAATGTAGGGACTGAATGACCCTATATGGAGTTTTCTTGAAGGTAACAGTGGCTGCATTTCTGTAGCTGGTTAGACTTTTTGTCTTGATCCAGTGAGTGGGGAGCCGTGAGGGAGAGTGCAGAGCCTAGGGACTTAGCTCCGAGAGGGGTCCTGCTCTCCCAGAATGATGACAGTGATGGGCTTTGTGCTGCACGATGAGAGCATTTCAGTTGGACCCCATGGGGAAGGAAACATTTTCACAGAGGGAGAGAGAGTCTAGAGTGCTGGCTGGTACCTCCCAATCTCCAGGCTCCTAACCTGTTAGTGAGCCCCCAGTCTTCACCCCAGCTCCAGCTGGGGTCCCACTGACCTGATCCCTCAGGAGGCCAGACAGGTGTGTTTTCCTCGTTGCATCTTTGTAATCACATTTCCCAAGCCTGCCAATACTGCAGATGGCTGGATTCTACTTTTGCCTTTTTGGCCACCTTGCCAGTGGGGTTTGGGAGGTGATGCTACAGGGTATCTCCTCTGAGCACCTGGTTCTTCCTGGAAAGGCATGCCTGCTTCCCTGGGGGCTGCACAGGACCCTCAGTCTTGGCTGAGGGCTGAGCCAGTATGAGCCCAAAGCTCAACCCTGTATCCTCCCTGGCCCTGTCAGTCCTCCAGTGCAAGTCTTCAAATGTTTTGCATGCATACCTCCAAAGAGACGTTTGAAAAATTGTACATCATCCCTACACATACAATTGACACCTAACATTTAGTTAGCATTGAAAATTTTCATCATATATTGCAAAGTGTGCTGTTTTGAACATGTAATAAATCAAGCAATTTTGAGCAAAACCATGATCTCATTCTTTCAGATGTATCTACATGACCTGAAGTTTTATTGACCATCACTTGTTTTAAAGATACATTGATGTGATGTGGGCCAGGAGTTAAAGGTCAAGAAAGAATTCTTATGATGTTTTAGGAGCAGAAAGGTGCTTTTATTAAAGTGCAGAGGGACAGGACCCGCGGGCAGAGGGCAAGAGAGGTCCACACTGGGATTGTGAGGAGCAATTGATTATATATAGTTTTTGGTTAGAGAGGTAGAGATAAAGGAAGTTTCCAAAAGGATTTTCATATGCTAAAGAAGATATCCAGGATCCTGGAGCCTGACTTATCTAGCTAAGGTTGCATTTTGCCTCTAATAAAGCATTAACTGGAAGGCAGTCCTGAGTTCCTGGAGGTATTTCTTACTCCGCCTGCCTCAAGTATTTGTGAATGGGCTGCAGGCTATAAGGAAATTTAATTTTATCTTCTTTTGCTTTGTTCTCTTCATATATAAACTCGTTTTCCATTGCATGTACACTACTGAATTGTATCCTAATATATTTATTCTTCATAGACTTCATCCTGCATAATAAATATGTATATAAGCTTTATATATATATGTATTTATGTATATGATATATCTCCTGTGACCTTAAGACTACCTGTTGTGGGGCACCTGGGTGGCTCAGTGGTTGAGGATCTGCCTTTGGGTCAGGGCATGATCCCGGGGTCCTGGGATCGAGTCCCACATTGGCCTCCCCGCAGGGAGCCTGCTTCTCCCTCTGCCTATGTCTCTGCCTCTCTCTCTGTGTCTCTCATGAATAAATAAATAAAATATTTTTAAAAATTAAAAAAAAATAAAAAGACTACTTGTTGAAAAGAATCTGGATTGAGATACTAGAATTTATTAAAACAGTATGATTATATTACAAATGTGGATGAAGGACTATTATATGTAAAAAGTAATATATTTTACATCTCTCAATGAGAGGAATGGGAAGTTTTTTCTCAAATTAATTGCTGTGCCCATGAAAAGATAGGATTTACTGCTAGGTAGGATTTACTGCTGGCACCTGGCTGGCTCGGTCAGTGGAGCAGGTGACTGGATCTTGGGGTTGTAGGTTCAAGCCCCACGTTGTTGGTTAGAGATGGCTGAGAAATGAAATCTTTAAAGAAAAGAAAGAGAGAGAGAGCCTTCAGTGGACAGTTACTGAAAAGAGAGGAAGGCAGGCTGCTGGTGAGCTCAGGTTCTTGAAAAACAGAGAAGCCACCGAGTGCTTCTTTGCCACTCAGGGAAGTGGCAGGAATGCAGAGGAGGAGCCCTCTCTCACAGATCGAAGATCAGTGTTTATCAGCCTGATTATGAGAAATCTCAAATACTCGAATTCTAAGACAGATGACAGGTGGACAGCAGGATAGTTAAGACACAGAGCTGTGTCCCAGTTCGTGGATTTATCCCACATTGCCGCTTTTGGCATTCTTAGCAATACTGTAAACACTCCTTCAGGAAAGATGCCTCCTGCAGCAGGAATCAGGATGAGTTACTAAAAGAAAAATGTTTTTAAAAGATCATTTCTGCCATTCCTGCTGGAAATGATGAGAATTCAGAAAAGGCAAACTGCCTTGTTTCTAACCGCAAGTTTTGGCCTTTAAAAAGAATGAGGGGAATGGGGCGCCTAGGGGACTCAGTGGGTTAAGCGTCTGACTTCAGCTCAAGTCATGATCCTGGGGTCCCTGCTCAGTGGGGAATCTGCTTTTCCTTTTCCTTCTGCCTCTTCTCTTTGCTTGTGCTCTCTCTCTCTCTCTCTCTCTCTCTCTCTCTCTCTCTGAAATGAATAAATAAAATGTAAAAAAAAAAAAAAAAGTCTTTCTAAAAAAGAAGGAAGAACATGGAATTCTAACTCCAGCATGCCATGTCTTGCTTAACTATTGGAATCAGCAACCTCACGTGTCCCTTTGTGCCCTGGGGACTTTGCACCCAGGAGCAGCACCTGTTAGGAAGATTCCAGATGGGTAGGGTATGCTGTACATTTGTCTCAAGAGCTTGCAGGAAGGCGAGCCTGTTCTCAGGCTGGTGTTTTTAGGAAGAACATGGGAAGGCTGTCATCTGAAAAGGGATTCCTAGTGCCCCGAGGGATGGCATGCCCACCCTGAAGATTGAAACCCTGAGGGCAGAGGTTCCCCAGTCTTAAAACCCAAGAGAGAAGACAGGGAAAGACCTTCCCGGTCACTTCTTGCCTGCTGCGTACCCCAGAGCACTCTATCCCATCCTACACCTGACCTGTTCTCTACCGTTCCCTGAGACGGCAGGGGCCCTGCTGGAGGAGGGGATTGGTGGGTATGAGTGGGTTTGGGGCGACTTTGCCTTCAAAGTGGGACTGTGGGCTGGTGGGGTATTCTGAGAATGGGGTGAGGGTCACAGGGTGCTCCCTCCAGGGCCAGGCCTGGGGGACCAGGATGCCCAGGCACCACGCTGAAGGAGGCACTTGCTCTGAGGGCCAGACCACTGGGTTCCTAGCCTCTGGCTGTGGGACGGAAGCAGGGAGACCTCCGACTGGCAGCTGGACCCCTCTGTGCTTTGACAGATGCTGTGCGTGAGCAGAACCGCCACCCCCTCGGCTGCCATGAAGCTCATTTCCCCTAGAGACTTTGTGGACTTGGTGCTAGTCAAGAAGTATGAGGACGGGACGCTCAGTTCCAATGGTGAGTGACAGCTGGGTGGCCATCAGGCCTTCGTGGGACGTCCCAGCAGGCTCACAGCCTAGATGCCTTGTCTGCGGACTTTGTGTCATCAGGTTCAGGGGTCGTGTGCATGGAGGGCCGAGGTGAGAGGGAGTACGGGCTAGGAAGTGTATAGTGAAGGCACAGATACGGCCGGCGCCCCTGGTCCTGCTGGGGCTCCCAGTCTACACTGTAGATGTGCAGGGGTGTGGGGCTGCCCCCTGCCTCCCAGTGAGGAACACGGGTATGTCCTGCACCGGGCCTATCACACTGCCCCCCAAAAGCTGCAGCCGCTGCCACTACACAGGATCTTCACACGGGGCCAAGGTGGTGGATTAGACGGGGTGCCTCTCTCCCACGCCTGAGCCTTCCGTTGTGCAATGTTCTTTTCCCTAAGATGCCCACAGGCTTGGGGAAGCCATGAATGTGTGTGTGCGTGCGTGTAAGTGTACCCGTGTACGTGTGTGCCTATGTGCGGGTGTGGGTTTGTATGTCTGTCTGTGAGCCTGAGGGTGTGTGAGTGTAAGGGACAGTGGGGTGCGGGGAAGGGGCTTGGGACCCCCATATTGACTCGGGCTCCAGGCGAGGGGCTCTGCGTGCCCCGGGGGCGAGGTCGTAGCTCGCTGACCCTTCTGCTCTGTCTTCCAGCTGTCAATGTGGAACACCCGTTATGTCCTCCGAAGCCAGGTTACGTGAGAGGGTTTAACCACCCTTGTGGGTGCTTCTGTGAGCCTCTGCCAGGGTAAGGATAATCTGGATTGAATTAACACGCCCAGACCTACCCATCGCTTAATTGCAGACCTGCTCAATGGGTCCGTTAATTACAATCTGCAGTAACAAACGGAGCGCCGTTCCGTACACAGCAGTGACGCGGTGTGCCGAAGCGCCAGGCACAGGAGAAGGAATTGTGGGAGGCCCTGTTCCATTTTCAGTGTGGGGCTCCTCCCTCCAGCCCCATAAGGCAGGCTGGGCAAATATCACGGTCCCATTTAGCAGATGAGAAAACAGGCTCAGGGAGGTCGTGGGAGCTGTTGCAGGTCAGAGGCTGGCAGTGCAGGGCCGCAGGGCCAGGTCCTCACTTCCGTGCTCTTCGAGCTCTGGCCACCAGCCCACTCCATCCCTCTCCAGGCCTCAGTGCCCTGTGTCTGTGCAGTTGGAATGAGGCCAGGGCTTTAAAGGGTCTCTGCGTCTAGGCCCTTGACCTATGTGAGGGGCGGGTGCAGTGCTGGATGGGGCTCCTGACAAGGAATCAGGGTCCCAGCTTTTTCCTGCCAGGGTGGGTGCTCCTCGGCAGCCCTGGCGCTTGACCCAGCTCTGCTCCTCTTTCCCCAGGGAGCCCAACAAGACCAAGCTGGTCACGTTCTTCCAGACTGACCTCAGCGGCTACCTCCCGCAGAGTGTGGTGGACTCCTTCTTCCCCCGCAGCATGGCCGGTTTCTACACCAACCTGGAGAAAGCAGTGAAGAGGCTTTATGACTGATGTCCTCACCTGCTGGCCAAGAACTCCAGAGACTCCCCACAGAGCTCCTCTTGTTCGGGTTCTGGAGGGCTCGAGGGCTAGTGTTCACCCTTCAGAACCCGCTTGGGAGCAGCTCATCTCCAAGAAGCCAGCCAGAGTGGCCCCTGCCACCCTGCTCCTCCTCCCACTCGGGGCTGGTTTGGGGGTACTGCTCCAGGGCCCCGTTTGCTGGCTGTCCACACCCCAACTTGGGCCAGCAGACACGAGCAGATGAGCCTCTTTGTGCGAGTCCCTGCCAGAGACTACCTGCCGCTGCTCCCCCGCCATCCCTGCCCTCCTTTGTCAGAGTCACCATCGATGCTGAAAACCAAACTCTGCTTCCTTTTTAGCACCCGGGGCTTTCCCACCTATGCCACTGACCTCGTATCTATTTTTCTGCACCAGATTCTCCCCTCTTCAAAAGGTAATGACTTGGAAAATATTGTTTTAACAAATGGGATAAGCATTAAGGAAAAAATAACATTCAATATGTCTTTGGTTGTAACTTCCATTTGAATCAGTGGTTTCCTCTCTTTTTCCCCCAAGTTAAATTAAACTCCTACATCCCCAGCATAACCAGGTAGTCTGCATCTGCCCTAAGCCGACTCTGCCGCCTTGGGGCAGGTACTCTCTGGATTGATTGTCAGCAGGAAGGAAGAGAGACCACATCCTCTCCAGTGCTCCCTGGAGTCCTCGCTCTGGGCTCTGCTCTGAGACTGCGCCTCCCTGCACCGGCCTTGCTCACCATGTGACTCATCAGAACTGGGGAGCACAGTCCTGCCACCTGGAAGGAGCCCCAGCAGCCACACGAGGTCCCTTCCCTCTCTCCAGTCAGGACCACACAGCCTGCTGGTGAGGAGCATCCCTGTGTCTGAGCAGAGTGTCCTCGTGTTGCAGTTACTGCTGTCTGTGGAAAATATCCACAGTCCTCCATGTGGAAGACCTCTCCTGGGTGCGAAGTAGCTCGCTTCCCCACCTTCGAGTCCTGGGGTGGCTATCTCCTCCATGCGCCGAAGCCTGAGCAGGCTTTAAACCAGGAAGGCTCCGTGTCAAGGGGTTAGAAAGCCCCCTCCTTTCTGGGTTGTAATGTGACTACAGATCCCACAGCCATGCCATTATTGGGATCATCTAGCTAACTTCTCATCGAGAAAGCTTCATCAGACTCTTGAATTTATTTAGATTTCACCATGCCAAGCACCAGCTCAGGAGACCCCAGAAGGCAGTGGTCTCACCAAGACGGCATGGCACGAGTAGCCCCGTGTAGCAAGATGGAGACCATCCTCCCAAAGACATTTGTCCCAGGCTCCATCGTGTGTACGGCCCACCCGCTGGCATCAGGTTGAACAGCAGCACTGGACGAGGAGTCAGAAAACAGGCACCTGATCCCATGCCTGCTACTCAGAATTTCTGTTCCTGAGCAGTGACTTCACATCCCTGTGCTTTGACTTCCTGTCTTTATAGGACAATGTAGCATCGTGAATAGCAGTCCCCATGTACTCTGCTGCTTAAACGTCCATGCAGGTGAAATAATGCGTGGACTGTTAGAACCGCCCGAGAGCTCCATGACCACAGAGTGATAAAATGGGTCAGTGATCCTGAGCTGTGATGCTTGCTGTGTTTGGGGATGAGTGGAAACTGCAGAGGCGCTGTTCTGTACCCATCTGTCAAGGAGAGCCCAGCCTCCCATGTAAATCCCACCACCATGAAGTGCAAATGGATGAGCTCTTGTTTTAAGACCTTGCTGATTCTTGGACTGAAGATCTGCCCCCTGCCCCAGCCTGGAAACGGGAAATCTGACCAGTGGTGGCATCCCAAGTGGCCCTGTTTGAGCTGGGGGACAGAGGGCACCTTCCAAGGCAGAAGGCAGGACTGGCTGTGCCCTAATCCTGAGACAAGCCTGCCCAGCCCTGTGCAGGAGGCCTTCTCTGGGTCCCTGGCCCATGGCCAGTGCTGTGCTCTTGCCTGTTACCACCTCCCAGTCCTGACAGGGCCACTTCCTCCTCCCTAGGCTGGTCCACATGCATGACTTGGCTGCTTACCCAGCAGTTGCCTGATGATTGGAGATGTCACTATGTGATATGGGGGGGGGGGGGCATGGGTTTGCCTCTGGTCCCCATGGCCCTGCCGGCCAGCCCTGGGAGCACATGGTAAGATCCTGTGAAGTGCATGTAGAACTGGGTCATGCCTTTCTGCTGGATCGTGTTGACCTCCAGTGTTTATTAAACCTGAAGAACGGGTCCATGTGGTGTTTCAGTCTGTGTCTCAGTCTAGGGCTTGACGAAATTTAGAAGGGGATGCAAAAGGCAGCAGACAGGACACGACTACTCTAAGCCTGCTGCTTCTTAGATGGATGGAGCTGCGAGCTAACGCCCACTGCAGTGAGATCACTAAGGCACTTGTGTGGGGAGGAGGCCCCAGTGGCTCTTCTACAAGCTCACTGCCAGGAAACGGTCTTTGCTTCCTATGGGCCCTGGAGAAGCCACCAGATTACACTGACAGGGCCCTGGTGCTCCTGACCTAGGAATAACCCGTTTTCATGTGGTCTGCACTCTCCACCATAGTCTCGGGGCTGGGGCAGAGCTAGAACGCTGCCCAGGGTCTACTCGGGGAGCTCTGGCTGCTCCTGATCCATGTCTTTGTCCAGAACGGGGTGATCGGGCATTAAGAGATGAGCAAACCAATTATCCCTTCAGTCAGGCACTGACGGTCTGTACCAAATCATAAGGAAAAAGGACTATTAAGTCCTCTGCGTCATCATTCACCAGCTTGGACAAGTCACTGCTGTCTCCAGGTCTTGACACCATCAGCAATACAATGGCACAAAAGCACAGTCTGTAGACACCTACATGATTAGTAAAGACTGTCCACTGAACACCAACCCAGTGCTTGGTGCGTGGTAGGTCAATGGCAGCAATTTTAATCTTACCCTATCATACTGATGCTGGTCCATGAGGGCACGCCTGCCCACTCTTTGAGCTTAACCTGTACTCTTTGATCCCTTGCCCCACCACCAGGTACCACCCTTGCCTAGGATCATGTCTACAACCCAACCAAACCAGCTTTGCCAGTGTCTTGTGTGGCAGATCATGTTTTCCCAGAATAGCCCAGCGCTGTCTCCCCTTTCCTTCACCCGGGCCAGCCCTGACTGGCGGTACAGCAGAAGATGCCATGTGGCTCCAAGGCAGGGCCATTAGAGGAGACAACTTCTACCTGGCTCTCACTGTGGGGGGACACTGCCCCTTGCACCCAGCTACCATGTGAGGAAGCCGAGGCTGCCTGTGAGTGCTCGTGCTGACAGCCCCAGCTCAGTTCCCAACCAGCAGCCATCACCAATTGCCAGGATGTGTGAGAAAATGACCGGGTGGTTGCAAACCAGCATTTGTGTTGCTCTGGTGGATGCCCAGTAAACCAGCACCGCCTGTTCCTTCCATACCTGCCCACGTAGCAGATTCGTGAGAAAAATAAATGCTGCCTGGGGTGTGAATCATTACAGCGTTATAGGATTTGGAAAACATGCAAAGCAGGACATGGATTTCATATGAAACTGTAATACATCCATTTTATTTACAGCACCACAGTATTAGGATTACGCTCTCTGTGCATAGTCTGTACGTTGTACCGGCCACCCTGGCATGACTCTGCCCTTCGTTTTGGGACGCCCTCTTGCTGGGTGGTGTCCCAGGAAGCTTGGACCAGGGCAGCAGGCACCACGAAGCACACCTCTGCTTTCCCCCATCCAGGTGGGGATGAGCAGCGACCCTGAGAATGAGTGGTTGTGAGGAGCTTTATGTCACTGGCTTTGGCGTCAGCACCGGTGCTCTACCTAGGCGTCTCCGGCGGCTGTAATCCCCTTGGACTGGAGGCCCTTCCTCCTAATGACCATCGTTATGGGTCCATCGGGCAACGTCTTGATGATGTTCCAGGCTTCAAACCGCGTGAGGCCCTGCATGGCCGTGCCGGCCAAGTGTAAGATTTCATCCCCTGGCTGGATTGTCTCACTCTGCTCCGAGGCTGCCCCTGAGAGGAGGAGGAAAAAGATGATGGGTCACAAGGGTGGCAGGGGAACAAGGAGGGTTACCTCCTACCCTCAGTCTCTGGGGAGGCAGGACAGCTCCGGAGGGAACAGGGTGCCCATCCCTTGGGAGCCTGGCAGTGGGTCTAGAATGAGGCATCTCATCAAATAGTGACCTCGAGGTTGGCACACCAGGCTCTAGCTCCATGGCCCTTGGGAAAGGTGTAGCCTCTGTGTCCCCAAAGAAGGGAGGTTCTGGGCAGCCCCAAGCCCAGTTGAGGAGACGTCTGTGGGTCATAGAGGCCTCTGGGGAACTGACCCCCCCTCCTCGAACACCAGCCCAACCCCTTCTGTTCACATGCAGTCTCTTGCCTTCTGATGAGCTCGCCAGGCATTGGGCAGTGTGGGAAGGGGGCTGGTGAACCTTCGCAGTGCGCTGTCTCTGAACGGCCTGGAGAAGACCCCTGGGTCCATGTGAAGAGGACATAATCATATATGGCCCCCACTCATTCAAAGATGCTTGTGGAAAGAGTGTTATTTTATTGTTTCTATCGAAGGATTTTCTATCCATTTGATACAATGATATTCAGGAGTATGAATAGAAGCTAATAGTAATGAGAAGGCAGAAGTGCTGGAGAATATCGGGCCCTTGTGTGTCTCAGGTGATCTGCTAACACTGTTTGGGTGGTAGTAGTCCCCTTTCACCTGTGAGGACCCCGAGGATACAGGTAACCAGCTGAGCTTCAGAGCTGCTAGGTATTGTGGCCCAGGTTTGAACCCAAACTCTCCGCCCCAGAGTCCCCATCTCCTTGCAGCGGTAGGCCCAGCCCAGTGTCCGCAGACGGGCCTGGGCTGCTAAGTAGGGGCCTGTCCAGCATCATGCTGCTGTTAGGAGCCCAGCTCCTAACACCAGAACCCTGGCCTCTGGACTTTGAGTCACATGCTGAGCCCAAGTCCACCTTCAAAAGTTAAACTGTCTTTCCCGGAGTTGGAATAAACACGGATTCCTGGAGACTCCCCTCCCCACAGTGAGCCTCCGTGCACCCGGGGTACAGACACACCCCACACCTCTGTGTGGATGAGGAGCCTCCGGCCCCAGAGACAGCAGTCACTCAGTAAGTGAGAGGCTGAGCTGGAACCCAGGGCCTAGGCTCCTGCTCTGTGCTCACTCTGTGCACATGTCCCTGTTCTGTGGGGCAGGGGCTCCAGCCTGAGAAGCTGGGAAGAGCCTGGGTGGTTCTCTGTGGGAGCTGCAGGCCATTCACAATGTTCGAGGGAAAACCCGAGCGACCCCCACTTTAGGCCGGCTTGCACCTCAGCCCACAATGAACAAAATGTCAGAGTTTTGAATAAAGGGAGCTGACCGGTCCAGGATCAGGGGGAGGGGAGTGAGGCCGAGTGTGTACAAGTGGAAAGTCAGACTCCATCCTTATTTTAAACTTTGATATTTTGTTCCTTATGGATTTTTTCATTAATTTTAATTTTTAGAAATATCGCACTGAGGGCCACCTGGGTGGCTCAGGAATTGAAAATCTGCTTTTGGCTCAGGTCGCAATCCCGGGGTCCTGGGATCGAGTCCCAGATCGGGCTCCCACAAGGAGCCTGCTTCTCCCTCTGCCTGTGTCTCTGCTTCTTCTGTCTCATGAATCAGCAACTAAAATCTTTAAAAAATAATTAAGGAATTAAAAATAAAAATAACACACTGAAATAAGCTATCACGGGTGTGGGGGCCCCTGCAGGGCTGTGCCCTGGGCTGTGCCTCTCGGATCTCGGCCTAGTCCCCCCTGGGCCTGCCAGGCTGAATCAAGCCCAGGGCTCTGTCATGAGGACCCAGAGAAATAGAAGGGGTAAGGGGCTGTCCCGAGCCGAGGAGAACTGGTAGAAAGAGCCGAATCCAGTCCCCAAGTGGCCCCCTGCCTGGCCAGCAGGCGCCTAGCAGCCTTGTAGGGGCTCGGCCCAACACTCGCAGCTGGAGAGAACGCAAGGAGCCGGACACACACCCACCTTTGAAAATCCTGTTAATGGTGAGAGGCTTGTCCCCGAGCAAGGAGCCCTTCCCACCTTCCAGGCTGAAGCCCAGGCCCGCAGAGGTCTTCTCCAGTGTCACTGTGTGTACCATGGCCTCTGCTGCAGGGGAAGCACAGGGACAGGTGAGGGGTGCCCTCCGCGCCAGCCCACAGACGCCTGGGCACCGTGCCCGCTGGATCTGCAGCCCCGCCCGGGCCCACACGCATGTGAGCACAGACACACACCCCCAGCAGTGTCCCGGGCTGGCCGCGCATCATGGAGCAGCCCCAGCAGTACTGGCCCCACGTGGCCAAGGGCAACGTGACCCACGGGGCTCCCACCGAGCTCAGGGCACTTACTGGGATCTACAGAAACATCGCTGGCCACCGAGGCTGAGGCCGTAGAGTCCGTGGAGGAGTTCAGGTCGGGCGCAGTCTCCAGAGCCGGCTTCCGCGTGACGATCACGGCTTGCCTGGGGTCCCGAGCTTGGCGGAGGATGGCCAGGGCATCGTTGTGTGTGGCCCCTTTGAGGGACTTGCCGTTGATGGACAGAACCTCATTGCCCTTCTGAATAGTCCCCTCCTGGGAGGCCAGCCCGTTGGGAAACACTCTATGAACCTGAACAAACCAAAGGAAGTCAAGAGCCAGGAATCACCCAGCATCAGGTCCAGGTTCTTGCTGGAGGGTGATCCAAACCAGTTAGTCAAACCTGAAGGATTCTTAGCGAGAAGAAAATACAAGTTATGTCTCAGATCAGGGCTGCTGGCACAGGGCCTCCCTCATCCACCACCCAGACCAGGGATCGCTAGCCTAATGGCCAGACTGGTCCTCAGAACCCTTCCTAACGTGATGCCCTAGCCGATTGCCACAATCTTAGTTCACCACAATCTTAGTTCACAATCCCAGTTCAAATCTTTCCCCTTATCTGCTCTACGGCAGCATTTCCCAGGGTGGTTTTTCGGAAGCACTGATTCTATGTCACATTAATAGGTGTATAAGAAAAGGTTTCTAAGGTCTAAGTAAGTTAAGAATGCTGGATGAAACAAAAGTTCTGAAAACATCTACAGCTTGTTTAAAAAGGTATTAGAGACTCTACGAAGCAGATTTGCATGATGCTTCTGTAAGAACAGGCCATAGGATCCCCAAAAGTGTTTCAGCCAAGAATCCTTTTTCCAGGCAGAATTTTCAAGCCCCCATCTTCTACAGGATGTATTTTTT